TCTGCCTCCCCTTTGGCTCCGCCACTGATGACATCATGTGCTTGGTTACATCGAGCAAATGGTGACTGTGAGTTTTAACCGCGGTCGGCTGAACTCATTCATGATTCCAGTCAACCCGGTAGTAAACTGTTACGGATGATCTGGGAAAGATATCAATGTCTGGAGGTTTAGCCAAAGATCACTTGGTTGAAAGGTTCCTGAACTGTGAACCTGGGTTGTTATCCTTGTTAATTTCATGTTTCAATGTTATTTTATTTATCTTGCTTTCTTTAATTATTGAAGGGAAGCACAAACTATTAGACAATCCACTTGTGTTAGAAAAAATTACATGACACACCACTGTTTTAACGTATAGCTACATGCAAAATAGAATAATCAAGAGGAATACCGTAACATTATCAGGAGTAACAGCTTCAATCCCTTCCTTCTCACCAACAACCACTGCCAGCAGATGAGGTGACATGATCGGTGTTGATTCGAAAAAGTCAGACACAAGATTATCTCCTCTGTAAGATTTGAAAAGAAAGAAATTAAACGGACTAGTTTTGCTGTCACCACTAGTAGTGTGGAACATCCTTTGATAAGCATAATGCCACGCCAAAATGATTAGATATTGAATGGGAAGTCCACCACGTTAACTATTATGCAAGCTACGGCAATGCCAAACTCACGTTCATAAAATTTCAACTTACACGTCCATTTGTAGTTCAATAGGCATGTTGGACAGAGCAGTTACATTGGTACTTCTTATGACTGTCATATTGAAGTGAGCTTTGTATTCAGGTTCATCAAAACATGGAAAAACTGATCTGGCAAAAGCTGGCTCTAGTTGGGTTGATGCCATATATCTGAAATATACACACATAATTCAAGTTTGAAATAAAATAACGAAACACAATGTTATGGTGAGAAATTCTTTTTCACTTGATGGTGACAATGTAAATTATTGAAAAATTGTGTACAAAAAAAAACCAAGAGTAGTATACCATATTATTGGGATCGGTTAATTAATATATCTAAATGTCGCAAAGATTAGGTTGAGTTCTCTATTCCAAAAATATTTTTGAATTCATTCGATTCATGTTGCTTTGAATGTCATATATACACGTATATTTAGTCGACCACTTGATCAGTCTTTGCTGTATTGATCGAAATCGCAAATGATTTGTAATAGTTTGGACGAACCAAAGAGAATTATGATAGATTTGCATACAATAGGATATAATTCCAATGCAAGATAAAGGTCCGGAAGTGTTACGGCATATTTTATTTTAGAATTATAAATTGAGTTCATACCTTGTTTCGTTTCCATATTCATATTTACTATAATAGAAACCAAACAGGTTGTTTGAAAGTTTAGCAGAGTATCTAACCGAAAAGAAATAATCAAATCCTTTGTACACAGCATCGTCTAATTTGATGATCATCAACTGTCGTTTGGTATCGTAGACAACGTCCATTATGGTTGGTGCGGTACCATTGTTTGATTCTGTGATTTGCATGGTTTTTCTGGAGATCATTAAATTGTTCACATGTAATGTAATGTTCATACTTGTTTCCATACATCTTAATTTGATTTTGACGTATCCATCAAAAGTGAATGTTGATGGTTGTCCGTTGTAAATGTAAGGTTTGAGGATGATATCGTAGTAAATGGGTTTTATATGACCAGGTAATTTGTTACCAGTATCGGATGTTGTTGGAGAAGATCTTGTTGCCAACACACTTGTTCGTCTTCTCAGTTCACTTGGACATTTACTGCCTATTTATAAGAAGAAATTCACAGTTAATCACTACTTATATATGTGTACAGCTTGGAACGTTTCAGAAGGATTTTTAAACACAAAGCATTGCGCCTCAAAATAATTACACTATATACCTTTAATTTGCAACTTTGAAAGTTTCAGATGTTTTTTTTAAAGATACGACAAAAAGACCTAAATCTAAATTAAATTTCTGTTAAGAGAAAATCATGACGCATCGAAAAATGTACGATGCCGCGTCCCGTTTCTCAAAACACCGTACGGCTTAAGACTAAACGTTCGACTGTCTTAAGTTTACGAATACGTTTCTCAAAGGCTATCTTAAGTGTCCTTAATATCAGGGGTTGCTGCAGGGTGTGTCGTGATAAATGTGTCTTCATTGAGCAACACTGTGAAAATTAACATAAAATCTAGAATTAAATATATATCTCTGGGCAATTTCACACCTATACTTCCGTCACATTATCATGTGTATCGAGTTTCGATGTAGACTTTCTCAGGTTTACTGGTCCGCCATTTTGATTTTTGCCCTTATGCTTTTGTGACTGTATGTTCAGCATTCCATATCGTTATAGTATATAATATATTAATTCATTTTAAGCGACTATTAAATATATAAACCAAAAAAAGTATACCTACCTAAACGAGCATTTCCATCTGTAAGCAATAAACATATACCAAATAAAACCATCAACATCTTATCTTTTTGCTCATATTCCAACCAATAACAAGATATTAATCATGTAGATTCCTAGCACTTTTTTCGCCTACCAAAATCTAGTAAATAAAATATCGACATGAATAAGTACAAAGAAGACACAGGAAAACATATTTTAAATTACATGTCATATTAAGACAAGAATCATGAAAACTGAATAAAATATATGAAGACTATAAAACTACGCTAAATGCCACCAAAACATTTCTGACGCCTTTAAATATTATATGCAATCTATGAAAACTTTATTATTGTGTTTATTGCCTACCAATTTCAAACAGAAGCTTAAAACCTCAACATTAATTTGGACCATTAACGTGATGTAACAGAAAATTGTAAATTATAGTCTAACTGGACTTAAATGGGATCTACAGAAACACCCGAAATCTTAATGAAATTAAAAATTTCGGTTATTTTTTCCTCATTTGTCTCTATTGTATTGTAGTCCAACAAGTTCTATCCCGTAGTCCCGTTCTAATGACGACATTTTTAAACCAATCAAATTGTGTCAAATGAGCATGTATGTTTTATTTTTGTCATAACATTGCAAATAAATTTTTTCACAGGGTAGAAAATATTGTCGGTAAACCAAAACCAACGATTCTATTATATTCTTCTAATATTAAAACCAAAAAAACAACTTAATCTCACAGACAACCATCAATAATGAATCGAATCGACAGGAAAATTTCCGACACGGTGAATCGAACAGAGATTTGTTGACCAACATTATTTCATTTTGTTTACATAATCAATACGATTACATCACATGTATTTATCATTATTTTACAAAGAAATTTCAAGCCTTGTTTTGAGATCAAGAAACCTTCGAACTGTTGGGAGTAAGTAGTGTAAATACTAACCTTTAAAGTGTGCACGTGCATTTACAGGCTGGAGTATTACTCGATTGGTCTCTCTTTATTCGGTCGTATGTAAGTTAGTTGTGAGATGGACTCCTATCCTTATGCTGAGGCATACCGATTACTACTAATATTTTTGTATGATTTGAAATTTGAACTCTAAAATACTACTGAGAGTCTTACATTGTCTTCGGGTTGGTGAAAAGGGAAATTTTCAGTCTTTAAATGTGACTAAGTTTCGAAAATTCTGGCAGAGAAGTGTATTTTTGTTTTCTTCCAAATCTTATATTCCTGTGGCCCCGAAAACATTCTTAGGCAAATAAAATTAATTTTGAAAAATCGTAAAAAGAGGGAAAAATCAACAACTGCGGTCTGAAGTAAGATATCCATCTCTGATCTCCAGTTATATTGTTTACACATCAAGAATGCTTACCGTTAAGGAACTCCCAATTCCAGTGACAGCAAAGTTTTTTTGAACAAGTACATCGAATTTCACAGGTTTGGAGAGACTTGGTATTTAGGTATCCTTTAACATGGAAAGCTTCAGGAGATTGTTTTTGTCTAGTTCCATATACATCATACCCAATGGACCATTTCTTATGGTAGATAACCCCCTCTCCTGGCTTCATTCCAGTCAAGGTTATTTAGAGATTTGAGAACATCCTTGTCAACATTGGCAGCTTCCGTACATAACTTAATTTCTCACAAAGACAATGGTGCTTTTCAAATAAGGAACGAAGAAGATTTTTGCAACTCAATTTTATTGTTCACATTCTGAGAATCATGTCTGTTAACGATATAGCAAATGATATACATCTTCTACAGAACAATTATTCATAACTATACAGTACAATCATGTAACAAAATGTTATATCTTTGTAGATTTAACTGCTGCACTTCCAGAACTATCACTCGAACAAATGATTGGTATATAGCTTAATATTCCTCAGACCCACAAATCTGGTGATATCACATCCGTATATCATGTCGGGAACAGATTTATGAGAGTTGCCCCCATCCATTTTTTGAATGTTAGTTTTTTGTCTTTTGTCAAGTTGAAAGTTCTCATATACAAGCGATTCAAAAACGACGTAGATCACGTTTTGGGCACGAGTAGGGTCAGATTTGTCTGGCTGAATAAACCCAAGGACAATAATCAAATACGCACGCCTATTTGAACAATATACTATTCAATAGTATCGTTTGTGAATTATTTTTTTGTAATTACCAAAAACTGAAAATTTGATATAAGCCAGCAGGTAGAAGGATCCTCGTAGACTTAAGTTGTTATCCTTGTATATAATGATTGTAATACAGATTAAGCAGAGATTATTATGATATATGTAGGCCTACCATCAAATTCAATTGCAATCGGAGATTATCGATCTGAATAGAGTACATACTTGGAACTAGCAGCTTTTCTCTGTGGGTTATTTTAACCAGCAAAGTGGATCATTTTCCCAAAACCATTTGAGAGTAAATTGCTCAACGGTGTACTTTCTTGATTGTAGGTGATACTTTCCTTAAAATTAATGATGTGTCATGTCGACACGATTTTAAACGATGACTTTTTAATCTATGCTTCGGTGTACTTATCATTCCATTATCGAGTATTTTTGAATTTTCGGTGATGCAATCACCTTCATCTATCGACTCGTGTGACGTCATTGTCAGAATATAATTCTTTATCAAATACATAATTATGCAAAATTTATTATAATACATAAACAGAAGATACAATGTTGACTTTTTGTACTCTTATGATCAGATTGTATATTTCGATGTAATAGATTGGTTACATTGGTTGAATGCATATGTTCAAATATATTAAAATGCGTTTTCATTTAGCAAAGTGCTGAAGGTCTGGTAATGGTTGTTCAACCATCTGATATTAAATTTTATATTCTCCAAGGCTTGGTGGAATACCTTCTCTGTACTACCCAATGTTGGGTGTTGTTCTATGAAGCTTTCAACCTGAAATAAATATTATCTCCCTTGATATATAAGAATATACATTAGAAACTGAAATGAATGGAGTTTTACGTCCTACTTTACTGCACCTTACGCGCTAATGAAGACGGCCGACGTCATGCAGTGTGCAATGAGAGATATTTTGGCCACTTGAGTGGCATTAGCCTACTCTTTTTCGATTCCAACTGTCGAGGAGTCTGTAACGTGTACAGCCTGTTGCACACTGGGCCTCGGTTTATTGTCTCTTTCCCTCCTAGCTGCATCACTGACAAAGGGAATTCGGGTTTAAAAATCAGCAGGTATTATATCGACCTATGCGAATATATATTCGGAATAATAGATTTATTGCTTATTGAGTCCACACAGCCTAGTAACGTTTTTAATTCTACAAAATTAAGCCCATGTCTATGCTATCAACTTGGTCTTCTGCTTTAATCAAAATCGAAACAGTCCCAAATTTAAGTGATAAATCTTGAAAGGGAAAATTAGGTTGAGGGATTCTCTGTCAATACCTGAAGCAGCTCTACTTCTGTTCTCATATCACTCGTTATCTTCTTAATCATCTCAGCGAACTTAGGATTACCATTAAACCTACAGCATTAAATATAAAATTTAAAATCTGTTTTTTGCTTTAAGACAATGTTTCATTTGTCCTTTTGATTCAATCAATAAAAACAAACAGAGGCACAAATGACCATCATCTAAAAAAAATGTACAGCGTTTTTGATGAAACATCGAGTGTCTTTAGATAATTTTCAGTTTTCAAGTATAAAATTTTGGAAAATGTTCGTTTTCTATCTCTTACTCATTAAAAAGTGTGGTCCAGTCCTTCTTAACCATGTCCCAGACCATTGCTCTTCCAATTGGATTAGCACCAATATGTCCAAATACTTCAAGAGTATCATGCTTGCTGAACTGCTCTGGATCGCGAGATGTCTCTAAGAATCTATAATTAGATAACAAAAATATTTCTCATTTAACATTTTTTAGTATGAATTTGTCATATACTTTGATTATTATTACTTAGAATTATTATTTCCAAATAGTTTTTCTGTTAAGGTACCTACACTTTGACTTTATATACCATGTAGTTGATAGGTGTTCATCCATTATAAGAAAGACTTTTTTCTACCTTTTCAAAGTTCTTGCTTTGTCAGTACAGGCCATAGCTCTAAGCAGTATGTCTTTCTCGGCATGCTCTTGAGATTGTCTAAATCGACTCATGGCGAAGTTCCATTCCTTTCCATTGCCATGTCTGATTGCTGTACAGTAGATAGTTGCCCGTAAATCTCTTGAAATTCTGTAAAAATATAACAGCTTATAGAAGTGTTTTCATTTGCTTAAAAAGATGTTTTAAGACAAACAGCAGAGAACTTAATATTGATGAGCGACCATCTGGTATAGCGCGAAAAAGGTTACATACTAAAACAAATGTGTCGGTCGAGTTTAGATAATTCATTTTTTGCTTCGAAGCTACAATGGATTTCCAATTATTAAACTGTATGTCCGATACATCAGTGCCAACATTTCCTGGTTTGAATGGAGGTTAGATTCCCTAGCGCAGGGTGAATCCACCTCTATTGTCCTATAAAGTAAATATCTAATGATTTTATGAAACATGACCTCATTGAGGTGGGAAGTGGCCTATATCCGATCATTTCAGTCTGAATGATTAGGTCTACATGTAATTAGAACTCAAGATGTAACCCTGTTGATCGAGATAGTTGTGACTTTGTGAGACCAAGGGGACAGAAGTTGACTTTAATGTAATTGGAAAGCTTAGGTCATATATTGTTAACTATCAATCTTAAACTTTTAGATATTAGGAAGTAGATAAAGAATCCCGTTACGAAAGTGTGTCAGAAATCCCAGTTCCAATGTCTTCCATTTTGTCATGATATCATTGATTTTTGTAGAGTTATATACGAGTAATTCCGAATAAACTATGACTCTAAGGTTCAGATTGTGCCGCATGATTAGACAAATTATCACCAATCAGTGTCACTTAAAATATTTTTAACTCAGAAGATAAATACTAATAGTCGATTGGACAGCGTGATTTTAAACCAATGATGGCTCAGTGTGAATATTCCGGGTCAGATTTAGAGAGCTATTCAAACAACCAATAAATTTGATGAAGCACCACTGCTATATCTCGACAGTCTTTTCTATATCGATTGTGGCATCTGGGTGTCTTCGCCGTCCATGTATTCGTGTATTTTGTTACAAAATTCAAAAAGATTGTTCGAAGCCTACCTATTATCAGAAGGTTTACCCATCAAATTGGCATACATAACCAAAGCACTTCTTACACATTCTGGTTGATCATATTCACAAGCTGTAGATATTATTAATGATCTCAACAATCTGAAATTATCAATATTAGAGGTGACGATGCTTACAGGAAAGTTCGAACAAGATTGAAATATTTTCTCTACAAATATAGTTTCGTATGTCCATGATAAATTAGAAAGTCTTATTACTCGCCATACCATCTGTTAGAGTTTAAGTCTAGGAAATCGTAATACTTTATAAAGTTCAAATCCTGTTCGTTGACAGTAAGATAAGTCTAGGAAACGGTATCACTTTATAAAGTTAAAATCCCGTTCGTTGACAATAAGATAAGTCTAGGAAACGGTATCACTTTATAAAGTTAAAATCCCGTTCGTTGACAATAAGATAAGTCTAGGAAACGGTATCACTTTATAAAGTTAAAATCCTGTTCGTTGACAATAAGATAAGTCTAGGAAACGGTATCACTTTATAAAGTTAAAATCCTCTTCGTTGACGATGAAATTAAGTCCAGGAAACCGTAAGACTACGTTAAGTTGATATACAGTCGCTACACTGGCAATAATGGTCAGCCGGCAGGCAAAAACAAAACCTTCAGCTCAATACTTACGCCACTATATGTGATGAATCAAAATGCTGTATTCCCAAAGCTTTGAAAGTATTCTCTGTTCTGTTTAATACAAAATCCTGGAAATCAGAATAGAAAACTGGAAAATGACAAGGTATCATGGTACACCGGGAGATGCATCACATTCTAAGCCATGTGCCGGTTGGTTTTGTTATTATAATAAATTAAAAAAGGAACCAGAGAGGGGATTGTGTTTCACAGATGTACTAATATATATATATAACATCAGGTCAATTAATTTTTTTTTACGAATTAATTTACGTGGATACTAAATATATTCAAGAAAGGTACCCTCACACAGTATGGATTACCAATTGCATATGTTTGAGAATAATTAAAGTAGTCATGAGTTTCAAACGCAACTCACAACTCAATTGCGTGAGAGTTGCATTCGAAACTTATGTTCTTATTCAGCCATACCATCGATCGCTATGGTTTGAGAGCCACTTTATGAAAAGTTAATCCGATCTCATTATAATATTTTCCAATTTTACTATAAAATAACCTACTTGCCACACTGCTTCAATGCTTGAATTCAACAACATCTTATGAATATAATCCATGTGTTTTCTGGCCACTAAATGAGGGATATATTCCCTTTCTTTATCCAGATATCTTAAAGTTAACACGGCAATATTCATATGGACCATGTTGGACCTACAAATTTATAAGAAAACACATCGTATATATTTATATCCGTCATAGATAACAGAATACAGTATACATGTATTGACAATTCTATGCAATGGAATGAAATGAATGGAGTTTTACGTCCTACTGTTATCTACCTATTTTCGAGAACAGAACAACCAACTGTCGAGAAATCTTTAACCAGTGATCCCAGTAAGGAAGGCCAAGAGGGTCACAGTTTTCCATGTGGTGTTACAGGGGGAGATTTTACCATTTTAAGATGCTTTGGAAGTAATTTACTATATAGTAATATTTTCATCCCGGTGGCCAGAATTTTAGTGGTTTTGGCCAGAAAAAAAGAGAAATTCCTCTAAAAGTCTGGCATCCCTGCTCAGACACGGGGGGTCTCGGTTTGTACTGCAGAAAGCAGACACAATCTAGGATGTTGACGTTGAGCTAAATAGTCATCTAGGATCATCCAAGAATGAAGGAAATGACAAATGACTAACCGTCAACACTGAAATTTATATAATGATCTGTAACCATTCTGAAATATTCGATATCCAATGTAATTTAAGTACTGTCAGTCTAGAAAGGAACATCAGACAAATCGTATACTTACGCAGCTAGAGTCATTGCATCGTCTATCAACTGAGCTCTATGAATTGGTGGAATAACCTGAATAAAGAATAATATATGAACATGATTCTTTCCCAAAATTTGCCCTGACTTGAAATTTTGCCTAAGACCTTTATCAAATGTTTTAAAAGGTAATGGACATCTTCAAAGAAAATAACAAAATGTGTGGTGACCAACACCTTATTCCTAATACCAGGTCGCCTGCTCGATTGATTTGATTTGAGCCATCAATCAGAAATGGATTGCAAGACTAGTGCTCTCAAGAGTCATCCATCAGGTACTAACGCTGTTCACCTACCTCATGATTAGCATTGAGTTGTTTCAATAAACAAATCCAGTTATTGTCATCATAGTTGACCCTGTAGAATCCAGACTGTTGAATATTACCCATTATCCATGGACAACTACTCTTCTTCTTCGACTTGGGTAATCCGATAGTACCTGATAGAATATAGAGTAATATGAATATTGATGGACAAAATTAAGTAGGTTTTGATTCTAAGATATAAACTTTCACCCGAGTTAAATCTGCCCAGTCGTTTGGGGACTGATCAAACAAGTTAGTCTATACGTATATAGTATTTATTGAGTGTTAAGGGTGGTATTTATCGTTTTGTGAAGGAATAATCTACTTCCGGTTTATCAAAACCAAAGAATTTCTAAGCTACTAAGTACTTACGGCTCGACCTTCGTTTACTAATCCATACAATATCTCTAGCAGTCTGGTTGTAATACCTTTCTCTGTCACTGGTAAATGTGAATGGTATCTCCCATCTATATCTTGAAAACAGAATACACCACGTATTACCAAAATTACTTGAACAACCTCTATCACTCGCAAAATCATAAAGTGACATTGTACTTATCTGATCAGCAATGTCCAGAAAACTGCCAGATCGAAATAAATGAAATGATTTGTGACCTACCTTGCTTTTGAAATGGATGTGCTGGTCTCAGATGAACATGGATCCCTAACAAACTTCTTTTGGCTGATTTTTACCTTATTTCCCCCTAAATTGTTAACCATAACAACTGGGTAGCCATCCAGTGTCGTCCATGATTCCATAAATCCTTTAACGTTGATTGTTTTACCGTTTTCTTTTGCTTGCTACAAATATCGACAAAAATGAATGAAACCATCATTGTAACGGATATTATTGCGAGGGTTGTCTTTGACATACTATCAAGGTGAAAGCAGTATATTGGCCAGAAATTGGTTTGGGCTACGATTTCGATCTTAGTTCTTGGTACAGTGCTTCTGGAAATCTAAACGAAACAATAATATATTGTAAAATGAATTACTTACGTCGGTTAAAATAGTCCATAGCGCATCAGTAGTAACAGGTTTGTAAGCGTGGTTTCTTATATATTTCTGCAAAGGAAAGGGTACTACTTTTCATCCATTCGAACGAATAAATTTGCTTTAATGCTACACCTTGTAAGTTTATTATGATACGGGAAGTTATACAAGACAGTGACCATGTCCACTAGGCATTTTCTGAATTGTGCGTTTATAGACAAAACACCGTCAACGTCGTCAATGACGCTCAATTTTCATTCAAATTTTGCGCTGGTCTATCAAAGCCAGTTAAAAAAAATGAAAAAAATGAATGCACGAACCCTACTTGCATGAAAGGGTAAGTAATCAACTGATAGTAATTTCAATACCTTTATACCGCTAGTAAATATACGTTCACCCATGATAAATTGCAACATTTTAAGAACAGAAGCACCCTTATGATAATCTATAGGGTCATATACATCTGGTATACGATTGTCTTCCAATTCAAGTGGATGCGATGTAGATAAGGCATCTTCATCTAATCCTCTATACAGATCTTCAACGATCAACTGCTGTGTCTAAAAAAAATAATGTATTAACTCTTTAGGACTACCGCTATCATTGAGTTTTACTTCGGCCTGTGTGCAGAACTCCTTGAAAAAGAAATAAGCCATTTGTATACTAGCTATGATTCAATTTTACATGTGAAATATTTCTTAGATAAAATAGGCAAAAGATATTAAGGGCTATGGTATTTTAAAATAAGAATACAAATTGAAAAGGTAGTTACCATTTGCCATGTTGGTAAGAAATGATCAATACCAAGACCAGCAACAAATCTTCCCAATGCTTTATTAAACCATAGCTGATTGAATGATTTGGGCGACACAAGGTTAGTCCACTGAAATCAAACACCAGAAATGCAATAAAATGGACAACTTAACAACTAATTTCCGTCAGAGTAAGGATTCAAGTCTGTTTATTACCATTGTTTGAATCTCAACACATTTTCGGATAGGAGAATCAGTTTCAGCTACTTTGCCACTACTCTCCTGTGTTTTGGTCAACGGTAATGGGTGGGTGACTGCATAAACCGACCCTCCGACTGGCTGTTATTAACAGTATTAGAAGTGATGACAATTAGACAAAAGCTTTTTACCTGATGGGCAAGACGTCGAGAGATTGTTAACACTGCTTCTTGTTTTTTGATATGAGCAGCGGAACCAGGCGTATATAGAATATTACTCTCTCTAAATATAGATAATCCCCAGCTGGTCATATCACCTTCAACTACATCAGGGAGTGCAACCATATCTTTAAAGAAGGGAAACATTAAAAAGTGTGGACATGCCGTATCTATTGATGTATGTTATACTGGAGATCTTTTGGATATTTTGATGTCTTGGCAATAGGTACACACATTTTAGTTTCGTCTTAGAGACAGAAAGAATAGATAAGATTTGTTCTTCTTTAAGTCATCTTCAGTAATGTTCTATGCCAGTTTATTAATCAACGCACTTTATGGTGAAGAACAAGTATCAGTGCTTCCAGAGAAAGAACTTTATATTAGATTACCAGAACACAATTGCTGAATTATACCTACCGTATTTCTTGAGTGGTATAACACTACTGAAATATTTCTCTAGATATTTCACCATTAGAACACTGATATCTAGTGCTAAATTCGTCTCGATTTGTTTTTCACCCATTGTCCATGACCGAAACTGAAAGTAAAATATCGTACTTTGTGTTTGGCTGTTAAAAGTGAAAAAACTGTACATTTGTACATTCAAAGGTAACGTTCATTTTTTTCATTTATTTAGTCAAATCAGACCAGTCCCATCCCTACAGGGAGGCAAGGAAGAATCAAGTCCGGCAGCGGTCCTGAATATGACGTACCACATCTCTAGATTTCGCTACTGCAGAATTTGAATACATCTTTGCATTTCTACATAATGTTTCAAAGGCAACTTTTCCGGCGGAAATATTCTTGAACATGCTACAAAATGAGAATGACAATAGGTTAACGTCATAAGGCTTTCTGAGGGAGTTATCAAATTCAAAATCTATTATAACATAATGTAACTTCTTTTGAAAGACGTTTATAATAAGGGTTCGAGAATTGGATAAGATTGGCATGTTTTCCTTGTCAACACAAGCACGTTTCAATAGTGGAAGAAATGTGCAGTTCAGTTTACAGTCAGAATGGATCGACAAGCTGAATCGGGCCAAATTTTTACCTTGTTTTTGTCAAGGAAACCTGGCTCTTCAAGATAAAAGAGACCACTTTGTTAGTTTACAACTGTTTTACGACATTCATGTCAATAAGGACTTTCACGTCAATCGTCATTGATCAAAAGATCATACTTCCGAAGTTAATTCGCACCTTAACATTTTGTAAAGAGGTATCTGGTAAATCATACAGGTGTCCCACAATAAACGCCAGTTGATAAGTTGACATGAGGGGAGTAGTCTCATAAATGTCCGCCGTCTGATGATGATTGCTACAAATATAAACAATATTATAAATATATTGTGTTTAATGATGTGCACTGGACTATTAAGCGTAAAAAGAAATATTTGTTGGTGAGTACAAACAACATGTCAATCAGGATAACCGTGGCTTCAAACGTTTTATCAAACTGTTCACACAAGGAAGTGACAAGGTAAACCAAAAGAGTTGATAACAGATAAACCAGGATGAAATAACAGCGTTTGTGAGTAACATATCCATCAATTACGTAGCTCTCGTGATGCATTAAATCCTAATCCGTAACATGGACTTAGACTGGAGGGCTAATACCAATGTTTAAGGAAACATTCAATTGGTTACATTGATATTAAACAAATCTTAAAAACAGAGTTATCAAATTAATTAGGCGACTATATAGGTGGATAAAACGGTTTTCGAGAAGCTTCCTGCTCTTTGGTTCATGTCCCAAGCCCTTCAATTAACGTAGAAAGTCGAAGACCACATAATTTTTTAACTTTACTTTCTTTTACCTTCTATGATTTACTTACTATTTTCGAACTTCTTTCCGTGGCATATTGAACAAAGATTTCTCTGAATCCCTCCGAATGACTGTCAGATTGAAGTGAGCCTTGTATGCGGGTTCATCAAAACATGGAAACACCGACCTAGCAAAATCTGGTTCCATTTGGGAAGCGGCAGCAAAACTGAAACGATACCAAAATAGTTGAACTACTGAAGAAACTTGTCTAGATAATTATGTAACTGAGATGATCAAAGGGTAATGAAAGGGCCCACCCTCTTTGTCAATTCTTTCAAATCATTTTCCCTTTACTGATAAGGTAATGGGTAATATTTTTAAAATTGTTAATAAAGCAAGCCCGATAAAAAAAAGCACGACAGTTGGTTACCTTTTTGTGCTGTTATGCAACTGTCTACTGTAATAGAATCCGGTCAGAGAGTTGGTCAATCTACCGTTATATCTCATACGAAGAGTGTATTCTTTATCTTTCCACATCCAGCTGTCCAAATGAATCACCAGCAACTCTCTAGATCTGTCCATCGTCCAGTTCATAATAACAGACTGCAAAGGACCGCTGACACTTCCGCTTAGTTTAAGATATCTATCAATGATGTTCACATGTCGAGCATGCAAGGTAATGTTATTACTGCTTTCTACGCATTTCATACGGATGTCTAGGAAGGCATTGAACGTGAACGTTTTTGGACGTTTATGGTACATGTGGGGTTTTAGAACCAATTCATAATGTAGTGGTACCATATGAGTTGGCAGCTTGGTGGTGACCTTCTCTTTTGGTGGTGGTCTTGGTGTTGGCGATCCCAATCTTTGACATTGTTTATCTACAAAGTAATAAAATCAAGTGATAGCTGAGGAAACGACACAAGTGTGACTATTTTGGAGTTTTACAAAATAAAAGGTGTGGTTACTAGTTGGCAATTCGTTGGAGTAGTCACAGTCACAGGCCTCTCATAGATCGTTTGAGGAAATTTTAATTAATTTTGTGCATTCTGACACATATTGCGGGGCAAAAACATAATAAAGATCATATTTTTCAATTTGAAAAGAAAATTGTGGGGTAAACCTTTTTTCTGGGAGGGGCTTTCCCCTGTACCCCCATTAATAATCTTCATGTTACTTCATAAGAAAAACAACAAATCCTTTGGAAACGACTGTAATGGTCTAAGCTTAATGAATTTGTCATCAAAAGTCATTTAAAATTTAACAACATATCTCTATATCTTGCATTATTGCACTAGAGGTAAATATATTATAGTGCAAAAAGATATCAGCGTTTAAGTACTCATTTGCCCTTACCTTTGATTTATGGACGTCAATTGTGTATGTCAAAAAGATTTTTTTTGTGTTTCACAGGTGTCATTTTAAGCTTTTAAAAAAATACACGATGAATACAGGTAAAATGGTAAAAAATACGATATATATAAGAAGAGGAAGAGGTATAACAACAATAACCAATAATAAAACTTTCGTTTCGATTTTTATTAACTTTCATTTGTAATTTCGCCACTTCGGTTGGGTCTAATGACGGTCTTATTAGAAATGATTATTCTGGTGACACCGCCAGCTAATCATATTTCTTCCCTGGTATTTTGTGACGTGAATCAAAGATATATTCCGAGAAGCATTAAACACTGAATGAACATTTTGTTCAATTCACAAAATCCAATATAACAACAATCAAAGGAAAAGTAATGAAAGAATACAAGAAAATTTAAAATAATTTGCATCCAACACATATTTATAAAATATTACAGTGTATTTTGCTGTCTATGCCTGCAAATTTTAATTAGATTTTTAAAACCAACCTGTCCGGTATACGCTAATCAATACGCAACATGCAGTCAGTGTGCCACAACACAAATCATTCAAGGAAAATTAATAGTTCGAAATAGACAGATCCAAATTATCTCATTTAATTCTGTCTGTTTGACAGTTGTTTTCACATCATTGCAATTTGCAAAGCGCTTCAAAGGATCGTTATCCGAGCCAGACACGGATCTCAGATCCTATTGTACTGATAAGTGGACTTCGATAAATCTGTCTAAACCACATGGTAACCATTGAAAAAAAAAATAAAAAAACTGCGATTAGCCTGTTAAAATTTAGATATTGAATACAAAACCATATAAATTAAATTTTCCGTCCATAATATCTAAGTCCAGGAAACTACCAGTTGTATCAGGAATAAAATAATGGACGTTGAATATATTCCCAGGTTTAGACACAAAGGAATCGTGCGATTGGGAAGGAACTTTGTATTATATTATATGTTTTCCTACCATTTGATTTACCTGATGGGAAAAGGTACATCAGTGATTTCGTTTTTGATATTCAGAATTTTGTGGGTTTGTTTGTACCTTTCAAAAAGAGACAAAATTCCTAACAAGACAACAGCTCAACCGTACAGATCGGATACTTTCTTTAGGATATTTGGTATTTTTGAAAATAATTCCCTGAAGGCAATGTCGAATGAAAGGCCATAGATAGAATGTATAATGATCGCGTTCAATGTTCAGTTTTCATGTTTTCAAGTTTCGAATGCCTTCAGAAGGAAATGAAAAAATAATGAAATATATACATACCCGCTGTTCCATCAATCAAGACCACCCAAAGGCACAAAATAAGCACCAAGAGCCGAGACATGGCTCTAGTTACTTCAATCAATTGTGTCTTGTAAAAGGCAAAATTTTCAACTAATTTTCCAGATTTTGTGAAAAATGCAACATGAAGTATAATATGTCAATTCACGACAAACTTAAGGACATAAAAATTTCAATATACGCTAGAAATAAATAAAAGACAAATCTTTTAAATCAACTTTAAACGTTATGCCAACAATAAAGATTTAAAAACGATCTTGAAAATCAAGGCGTGTACAGTATTGCCTAACTATTAAAAGATTTTGTTGTTGTAGGAACATTTCTAAAGAAATAAATGATGTGTATACATTATTGTACCTACAGCTTTATATAATCAACAAGTTGTTCTGTGATCTGATGGTTTGGTGAATAAGATACTTCGAAGTAACTTATTGATCGGGGCTCGATCTCTGCTCAGTTTAAATAGCATTTACCTTCCTATATGTAATATTTTGTCTATGGTAAAGGTCGTCTGAACTGACATGAAAAAATGTGAAGTGGTTTGTTCCAGCAGTAGCGTATCAAGGCGGTAGTTTTTGGACCATTACTCCATCCCCCTCTCCTCACCAGTCAGGCCATACGAAATGAAAAATATATTCTTATTTCACTTCACTTTTTAGTAAAATCGCGTGAGATGGATTCTCTGGCTTCTCACATTACACATTTATGACCCCCAACAAATTTGCCAGATGCCTGGAGTGCTCGTAGGACACCCCCTCCCTCAAAGTTAATGAAACCTCACAGTTGGACATCGAAAATGTTCTACATTTCACACAATATAGTGTTCTTAATCAACAGTTGCCAAATCGATAAAATTAGGAAGTAAACTTTGTTTAATAAATAATAGGGGAACAGAACATACCACCATTTCATTTTATATATTTCTTCAATCATATATTTATTAGAAACATGTGGAAATGACAAAAAAAACCATTAAATTAGGCAAAAACACGATAAAAGTGTCGCTGTATGAAAATGACAAAATTTAATGAATTACCTAAAATACTCTGATTTTAATCAACAACTAAAAAAACCCGATGACGAAAACATGTTATAATTTTTACGCTCAATAACTTATGCATGCCCTAAAGCTAAAATATGACTTTCGTTGTAATTATTTTCAAACAATTCGGAAGAAGCACTTGCTGACAAACGCCAATCTTTTTAATTGTTTTAATGTAATACCCATGTTAACGAACATATAATAAATACATATTAAAATAGAAGCGCATGATTTAGCCAATAACGTGAGATGTTGATTTAACTTTGGGATACAATCCAGTGGAGATATCTAGGATAGAGGCAGCATCAAATAATGGACCCGACCTGAAAATAGGAAAATGATAAAGATAGCAAAATTTAAGTATGTAAAACATCACCACCTCATCCGGGCTCATATCTTGAGACAGACTCGAATCTGGGCGCACAGACGGTTGTAAAATGCCCGCGATCTACTTTCAAGCAAAATAAAAATAAACTGGATCTAATGTCCCATCCAGTTTATCACAGCTTCTTCACATCTTTAAATTTATCTTTTCTTGATGCGAGGAGCTAAAGAAATATTTTGTGGCCCTGGGATGATTTGAAGCGCTAGTAGACCAGAGCGTGTTGCTGGAGACCGCAGTCACATTTTCTTTTGGATCCCCTAAGATTCAGATGAATACCAGACTAAGGTAGTCAGAATAGATGATGAAAGCAGTTTTAATTGAGAAAATACTTTACAAACAAGTACCGATACATACGTATGAGTTGTTACGCCGTTCTTTGTTGTTCCTTGAAAATTGGCATTGGTACCTAATGACGTATACCACAGAACAATTTGGTTTCCACTATTACCAAGAACTCCTTTGTGTACCGCTGATTTACAAATAGGCGAATTCTGTAACACAAGAAACCAAAGCCATTGCATTTTGTGATTTGGGATTCCTAGAAGTCATATCCATTTGAAAAGAAATACAAGGCCTGTTGATGTTGATATCCTTCCATTATTTAAGTTATGAAACATAAGATAAGACAAGCGCTTCAATTGAAAGTACTAGAGATTTAATTAGATAGTGCTTAGAAATCTTACCATACTATAAGGTCCACTACCATAAATTTCACCACTCTTGGATAAACAATCTAACGGACACTTTGCTCTGGAAAAAAGTTTATCAATGCTTAAAAGCATACCCATGAGCCACAAACATTACTTGAATATCAGGAAAAACTTGGAAGCGGGTTAAGACCAAGGAAAATCTATACTGCTTGGTTCAGGAAATAACTCATTTTTTAATTTGTTGATCAAAATATCGGTATCTAGTGATACTGTTAGTATCTGAACAAATGTTAAGAGCAAATATCTAATTTACAGTGGTAAAAACATCAGTTTAACAAGGTGTACCTGTGAGCTAATGCAAGTTTGGAGGAAAAATCTTCAAATTTCGTATTACAGTCTACATCAGCGTGGTCGTAATATACTGAAACACAATATATCGGTAAGAAACAAAAGGAAGACATATTATTAAGACACAGTGAAAATGTTTTTGGTAGTTGTTTCAACTAGGTCTTAATAAATTGATCTTGTTAGATATAAAAGTTGGTTTATGCAGATTATAATGAATTAGTAACATCGACATACGTTTCGGAATCCCATTTCATCTCTTGCAAAAATCAATATGAGTCATTTTCATAAAAATAATGTTAGACTCTTTATCAGACCTGAAAACAGACCACTGAACTGTAGAGAGTCACCAACCATAAGCAACATTCACATTTACAGTCTAGGTAATCATTTACTCATCCTCGGACATTTAGACGTTATAGGCGTTATATAGGTAGAAACTGCGTACTTATTCCATAAGCTGTATTAGATGAGTGACTATTTGATGCTGTACAGGTATAAACACCAGAGTCTATATCAGAAGTAGCATTAGAAACACTACTAATTATAAAATCACCATTGTCAAGGAATATATAGCGACTTTCTTTTCGATCTAACACTGTTCCCAGTTTGTCCCATTTTAATGTTGGTTGTGGATCACCTTTTGCACGACAATCTAAAGCAATGAAATTGACATTGGGATCTCCTATGCGGTGTCTTGCCTGTACTATTTGAACAGTTACCGGTTCTGAAAAAATAAAACTGAAAATATAAAAATTCGCAGATGCGTGGAAACATTGTATGTGGCGAATGAGGGTGTTATTTCTTGACGAGATTATCGTGCCCAGTAACAGAAAGGTTTGTTTATCACCGGTTGGATTTCCTTCATGCCTCTTAAGACCCGATACCCAATATTTTTCATTTTGCCCATGGGTACCCCAGGTTTGTAAACAGGCCTTGTCTGAACGATAGTTGTAAGTAAAGATTTGAAACTTTACACTTTAGGTGCTATACCTAATACGTCGACCGTTGACGTAGCATTGACGTTTCCATAACTGTTTGATGCAATACATGTATAGTCTCCTTCATTGATTTGTTGGGCATCTCTAATAGTAATAGACCCATCTCCATTGTCAAATACGTTGAACGGTGTATGACCAGAAATCTAAAATATAAGAATTGATATGGAAATTACATGCACTAAGACCTTAATACCAATATTAATTAACACGAAAATGTACATTGATTTAAAAGTAACCAACAAAATTGAAAACTCCCGAGTATACACGCATACAATCCCAACATCATCAAAAGTATAAATTATTACTACTCTTACCAAATTTAAAAGACAACATAGAAAACTTCTGAAGTCAAAAAGGCGTCCAAGGTATAAATTGTTTTACTGTAATGCAATAGGAAGTAGCATCCTCGTCCAGAATCAGTATCAACTGGCAATCTGCAGCATTATTATACTTTGTCAACCAAAGAAAAATTGTTACAACTTCTTCAATTTTGAAGGCATGGTTGAAAAACGTGGTATCGTTTAAAGTGCAATATATAGTAAAATCCAAACCTCTGGTAACTTCCAAGTAATTGCAGCAATAGGGTTGCTAACCACTGTACATTCGAGAATTAAATCTTTTCCTTTGATTACCGACAAATTACGGAAGTGGCTTGTTATCATGTATGGTTTAGCTGAAATGGGGTTGATTCGTAAGACAAATATTGTGTAGTTAATATGATTCATTAAATGTTACAGTACTGCCTCATGTTGTATGCGCTCTAAGAACAAACGGAACCTTAACTACGTTCGGAAACGTTATTTGTATGTACTAATCAAAGGCATCTAACAGTATACAGTTATAAGCGTTTAATTTAGTAAATTCTGCAAAAAATACTATACCTTGCACTTCGAGAACACCATAAGAAACTACAGTTTCATATCTGTTAGAAGCAGTGCAAATGTAAACTCCAGAATGCAGAAACACTAGATCAGAAAACGTTAGTACGCTTTGATAACCTATGGTGACAACATTATTAGTCACTGTGGCATTGGTACCATCCAGACCAATATGCCTCCACGATATAGAGGGCAATGGTACTCCTGTATAGTCACAAACCAGTCTAGCAGATTCATGGTTACCATCTACAAACGCCTTGGCGGGTATGGTAACGTTAACTGTTATCTTTCCTTAAAGAAAAACATTTACTGGGTGAGATTCTGTGACATCTGTGACAACCAGTGGGTCAACTACGATAGGAACTGGTTGAACCAAGTCCTAAGGAACCCACCCACGGAAAATAAATGCAGGAGAGCGTACGTTAAAAAATAATCCGATGGGGTTGGGGGAGGGGGGGTGAACTAACTGAAGTCCACAAGCCCACACTCATCTAGTTAAGCGACTGGATTTCATATTACATGGTGGGATTTAACGACCTAGAAAAGTATCGAGTGAAGCCCAAGGAAGCATCAAACACAGCTATGACAATAAAAACAACAACCTACAACGTTAAATACAGCATTGTATTGCGTTTCTGGTAGATATTCGAGAGAAAAAAATAGTTCTTCATCAGATAAGACTTCGACTCACCTTTTACTTTCAGGTCAATCTTTTTAGTAGAAGTACCAAAAATATTTGATATGGTACATTCATAATGACCTTCGTGGTGTGCTTGAGCTTTGGGTATAAATAGACCATTTGGTTTGTTTATAAATGTGCCAAGTACGGTGGTATTCCAGAAGACCAACGGTGTAGGGTAACCAACATTCGGCTCACATGGTAACAGGATATCTATGTTATATGTTGCTGTTATTTCCTCATACAGTGGACCTTTTATTACCGGGGCAACTGAAACACAAGACTTTTATATGAACGAGATTCGAGAGTTATAGTCTTGGCGAATACTTCATACATTTATTTATTCTGTCCAAGTAAGTGTCAAGATCGTAAGTCTTATTTTTTCGTAATGTAGAATTAAGGTTATTACGAAAATGAATAAAATAGAAATATAAATCATCTTACTCAAACGCTCACAACAAGCAGTAGTTGGTGGAGCACCAGCTGAACCAGGCTGACCTCTTGGTCCTCGATCACCCTTTGGGCCTTGTGGACCTGAAAAATGAAGTCGATACAGATGCAGGAGAGATATACAGATAAAGGGAAATAACTTCAGAATCAAGCCTGTGTTTAAGCTATGCCGTCACAGATAAATTGCATACATTGAATAGATTGTCATTTTTAGCAAAATTTGATTTCCGCATCCTTGATCCCTTTTGTACCTGAAAAGAAAGACTAATTAGGGAAACACATACAGATAAAGGGAAATAACTCAATCTTTAAAGTAAATGGACTCACTCCACTAAAACATTTTATGCAAATGATTGTATAATGTAGTCCAGGCTATTTTTAGAAATCTTCTTTCTCTCTCCCTTTTGGGGTTTTTGCCTGCCTATTTTTGGGTAAAATTTGGTCTAGATTTGGAATTTGATGTCTGAAATTGCATTATCTTTCAGATTTGGTGAGATGATGAGAGACTTAAAGGCGGAAGGCTAATTCTAAAAATAGTCGTTTTGTGAAGTGCCAAACTCTAGCGGATGAGTATAACCGGTAGTAGTCTACTTTCAATTTTAGTAGCTCAAAATTTTCATGGTCATCATATAATGAATTTTTTAGGAGACATTGAGAATTGGTCAGGCTTTCATTCGACATGTTGGAAAGCTTTCAACGAGATTTCTGGAAAAAGTTATAGAAGGTTGAATTTCGTGTTTTAAAATGGGTAGAGATGGCAAATGAATTAGTGGAGTGAGTTCAAATGTGTTTAAGATATGTCCTGATGATAAGTTGCACTCATTTATTAGATTATCATTTTGATCAAATTTAGATTTCGTATACTTGATCGTCGATCATCCTATGGGCCTTGTGAACCTGGAAAAGGAAAGCGATTTAGGAGAGACATACGGATAACGGTTTGACTTTGACCTGAACCTGAAATCAGATTTTCATTTAAATGAAGCTAATATTTAATCACGTTTTAATAATATGTCAATTACCTGGAAGGCATATTTTAGAAGAATCACCACATAACTTCTCGAGATTCTTTACCTGAAATGATCAAACGTGTAAACTGTTATACTTCCTTTACCAAGTATGAATGGCAAAACCGGTGAAAAATCGTATAGCTTCATACAGTGGGAAAATGCAGATTGACTTGGATAAGTATTGTTATTCTTCCAAACCACTAAATTGATGCAGATCCCTACTACCGACGACGACTACCAACAAAATTCTTGTCTGCGGTATCGGCTGTAGCTGGAAACTAACGATAACGTTTCATCTACAAACCCAAAAAGTTATTGTTAAATGTCGATCTAAGAAGAAGCTAAATGAAATATTCGAGAATTTGTCCAACAACTACGTATATCAATAGCAATTTGCTTGTTGAAAGGGCATGGAATATCTTATAATCAGCTAAGAAATACTCACGGAGGAATCAAATAATTCACGTATAAATGGTTCGACTTCTGATTTAATTGATTCAGTTAAGCTTCTCTTTGTATTGGTATTCTTAATATATTCGTCAACATGTCTCTATTAAATAAAACGTACCAAATTAGTTACAAAATGCGGTTTTGGATAAATTATCCCGACATCTATCTTTATCGATGAAGGTTAAATTTCAAAACTGATTCAAAGCGTAAGAGCATAGTATATAATGTAAACTCTCTGAGAATTAGCAATAAGTTGACAACTAGCAGAGCAAAGACTCAACTTCATAATGGTGCGAGTACACGAACAGTCTTGATCGGCAGTTTTTGTCGCCGATTAGATTCTTGTCAAAAGTTTCACCGGGGGCACGGCAAGGGCACGCAAGGAGACAAACATCTCCAGTCGGTCGTTTTCCACCATGTCGATAATCACCTGCGGAGGAAGCAATTGAAAGGAAAATTAATCTGATTGGATGACGACGGAAACAATTATCATTTTTTTTGATATTCCTGTCGGGACCACGAGACACGAGACACGAGATTTTAAGACACGCTAGATTCGAGTCGGCGACAAAAATCGCCGACCAAGACCGTTCATGTACCCAACCTCAAGAGCTCTTTCCGAGTCATCAATAAATATCAACAGAATACGATAGACCAAAATGAAATTCGTCTTTTATTATGGAAGGTTGTGCTCTCAGACAGAACTTACCCTAACCCGCGTAACATCATTACCAGATTCCACGTTTAACAGTCTACTCTCGAGCTCTTTTAATTTCTGGTGCTCAAAAACTACAATAATTCCTAAAGCCACACTCAGTAGAGCTACAGACGACGAAAAAATGACATATTTCTTGTTATTGTTACTTTTTCTGTCCAACATTTTGATAGTTTATCCCAAGAAGTGTGTCGCGCACTGATAAAGGTCAGAGATTGGGACATATTTGGTAGCTTATCTGTGATAGGGAATATATATATATATATATACAGTCTCAATAGGATGTTGGTATTATCTTTGTTAAAAATTCACGGTAAAAAGATAAAGTTTAGATCACAGAGGTTGCTAAGTCTATTCTTAATTTTGTTAAAGTTATCTAGTGCAGATCACAGACACCGAAATCAAGGAACCTTAAGAAGGGAATCTGTAAAAAAAAACCCTACATGAATATTATTGTCTGAGCAAAGCAAGAAGTTTTGATTTTTTTCTATATTTTTAAGAGAATCGGAATATCAGCCTCAGAATAGTAATGTCTTTGCGTTGATAGGAATGCACCTTTTTGTAAGGTTACATTGAAAATAAAAAAATTTCTCTCCGCGAAATTTCAAAGAGAAAAAGTCCTAAATTTTGACTGAAAAGTAACCCCTGTAAAAACAAATTTTGAAGACATAATGTGTGCTCATGTTTTTATTTTTATCAACGCAAAGACATTCTAAGACTAACAGTATTATTTTGATGATGCTATTCCAATTCTCATAAAACTAATGGAAATAATTCAAAAAACTTATTAGTTTGCTGAGACATTAGATTACATTGCCGTTTGTCTCCACGTTCGTCGGTCATTCATCATCATAGTTTATTCTTTATATTATTAGCCTCTATTTCTTTCAGTGTTTATGTTACTTAAAGTTGCTTTTTACGGATAACAGTGTATTTTTAGAGATTTTTTAACATTTCTTGTAATTCTAACAAGTCTTTTTTGTCCAGTCTTACTAATCCTTACTAATCAGAATGGTTTGACCAGGTCATTCGTAACTGCGTAAAAAAACCATGTGCAGTAAACGTCAATTTTGTTTAAAACTTTACTATTCACAGCACTAAAGTAAGCACAACTTAAGAAACTTGTGCACTATGCAAATAAGACAACATAATAAGAGGTAGAAAATGTAATGCCCGCTTTGTATCCGAGTAACTGTTTGTAATACATTAGATCTTTATTAACTCGAAATTTCTTAGAAATCAACTGATTAATTTAAAAATCTATTTACCAGAATGACCTCAATAAATCAAACTTTTTCTTTATCAACTTCCTTATCATATAATTGGTACATGACTATCCCTCTAATTCTCACGATGATAACTTTCAATCATATCAACAGGAAAACATTTGTATCTTGCTATTTATGTCTGATTTAGGAAAAGTCAATTCATATGATAAATATACATTGTGAAATATCAATATCTGGTAGTAAAGCATATGAAACAATAAATTGATGAATGAATTTTTTTTTAAAATAGGATACCATATTTGAAATTATATTCATTATGATCAACATGACAAATAAGGAATTTTTTTCATATGGCATAAATGAAAATAAATGGTATAAGAAATAAGATATATAGCAGGGATGTACACCAACATTATAGTTCAACAGCCAGGAACAGTTTGGTCAAAGGGGTGATAGAGCATATGCAAAGCTAGACGTTGCTGGGAACCAGTGAAGGCACCACCACTCTGCAACTGAGGGTGAAGATGAGATGGGTTGAGACTCAAAATGCAAAAGCGCAGTGGCAATTTCATAGGTCTCCTATAGAAGGTCTAAGGGAGTTCTACACAAGAAAATATTTAGAAATAGCATCAGTGAATTATAACTCATTTTTGTCTAATAAAAATCAGGTTTTGATATATTTTAGAAATTAAGAGAAGGAACAATTTTGGGTGCAAACAATTTTTCTGAGGGTGCAAAAATGCAACCACAACATTGCCGGGGATCTCTACTGCGTTTGACCGAAATAAGGCTGATAAACAGACCAAATCCAGTGTACAAGTGTATTACATACTGGAAAAACTTGCTACATACTAGAAACACTACCTGCTTCATTTGGCCCGCCAGACACCTTAAAAAATACAGAATGGTTAATATCTGACAAATTACCAGCAGCATTCAGCCCGCCAGACACGTCTAACTGTTGACCCCACCCAGTGCTATGGCCAAATAGATCGATTTTGAATGAAAGGCGACATTCTACCAAGTATAGAATGACCCTTGCCAGGCCTAAGTAATGGGCTATTATTTAGGCTAGATAAAACCACTGCATTTGGCCCGCCAGGCTAACTTGACCCAAACATCGATGGTATTAAAGAATGGTCGTTGCCAGTACAATTTTAAAGTAGCAGTATACATAATACATGTACATAATAGTAAGTCAATCCATATTGCAATCAATCGAAAAGGGTCGAAAGGTGGGGGCGACTAATCAGTTAAAAGCAACAAACACCACAAAGCAAGAGCATCAAAAGATCATATAAATACGATACAGTAAGAACAATTCAATAAAATAATACAAATTGAAAAGGTTACAAAATTATCTCATCTCAAAATATCCTGGGGATATAAATTTAGAACCTTACACGGCCCCACACTCGTATCTCTACACCCTAATAGAATCCCTAACGTGGTCTTACCAAGCTTCAGTATAAATCAATAGACAGAAACCAATGGACATAATTTGCTGGCCAGCAATCTAAATGACTATTATACTTACTCAAGAGAAAATCGAGTGTTTGAGTGTGTAAGGAGTAGCTACACCTGAGCGAACATATCTTAATGAGATGATATCCTATAGTCCAATTTTAGTCCTTGTGCCACGTTGCTGTAGTCAATATTTGCCATTCAAGAAAAAAAAAATCAGGATGCAAATACGTCTGGTTCTTCTGGGATAGATCTGTCGGCAACAACACTCTCTAGAAGGATGTAGTTTTTACCGATGAAGTTTTAACATCTTCATTTAAAATTGAAATATATTTTAAGCTAAGATACACAGAAAATATTGTTGCTTTCTTATCTCTGGTTTTCCATTTGCCAGTGACTGGATCAGGTTTTTGGCGAGACTTTGGCCTCTTACTTTCATTCTTGGTTTACCATTGAGTCTTGGCTAAGTGAGCTGACTTTTTATTGTTTTAATTCACCATACAATATCCCTGTCTTAACTTAGCCACCTACAAAATAGTTACAAAAGTCACCTTGATTTATCAAGAGCACGAGTTGACTGGCGGACGCCCTTGACAAATCAAGATAAAATTCTCTGCTTCTAATTGGGCTAACAAAGAAAATGAATTAATTACATACTCCATACAATATAATTTTGACTAGACAATACTTAAGGGAGGGAAAGTGGAGTTTGGGCCAAAAAAGTGTAAAGACCCTGTAGCACCAAGGCGTGTAATAAACCAAGTCAAGATTATGCTATTGATGGGAAAGAACTCACGAACGCAGGAGATTTTCAAAATGAATCCAATGTCAGTTTAGGGTAAGCATTGTCATGTCGCATGTCGAAATCAATCTTTCATTGACGATGACGTCAGCCATGTGTTTACTTAACAAGTTTGCCTGAACACGGGGCAATTCAAATTGAATTTAGGCTCAATTTAGAGTAAGCATACATGATTAGATTCTGATGTCTATGCTATTGAAGGAGGTTCGTGACACATGACGAATTTATTATCTTTAAAATAAATCTGCGCCCAAAAGAACCAAAGGATAGAAGCGGAATTTGAAAACTACAAAGTCTATTAAATTCGGGAATTTTGGTGTTAACGTTAGATGGTTTGGGTTAATATTAGCACTTAACCACCACCACAAAGTAACTAAGCTGGAAACAAAGAAATAGGAAAGAGTAAAATTGCCGTTTTTAACAGACTTTTTTGTACAAAGTTTCAGGCAGAATCTCAAATAAACTAATGTTACCATAAGCAATTAATGCGAATTTATCATATGGGAAAGAAAGAAAGAAGTTTCACGCTTCGAAGGAACTATACTGTCGAATCAAATATGAAATTGCATATCAAAGACTTTCTATCAATAGAATAGCCATTACCATACCACCTTATAGAACAAGATATTAGTAGTAACAAACAAATTAAATAAGTCATGAGAGCTTTACACCATGTTCCTTGACTTCAACACATACTTGCACGAATGTGACTTTTTATGTACCGTACTACCTTACAAAAATATAAAGATATCATTAGTGAATCATCAGCAGAAACACTTCAAATCATGACAGCTTTACACCGCTTTCGACTCTGTGCGATTGTGATCTGCATCAAGGACTTTCTATGCACAGTGATAGCTAACACATCAAGTCTTCCCTACGTGCATTGGTTTCAGCAAATGCGGTGTTGAGAGTCAAACTAAGGGACAAAACACACAAATATAGCATTGCTCTTTATCTTACACACTTTCATCAAATTTTATGTCTAGATCAAGACAAGTCGAACAATAATTACATAATGCAGTTGATTTAGAATCGCGCAGGATGTTACAAATCAGTTGCTACGAAGATTCTGCCCAAGACGCCACCTGCTGAATTGGATTATTTAATATCCGATCCTGACGTCAGTGAGAAGACAATTTGCTATATATGACGGACTTAGGCGGTGCTGATGGGTTTTTTTCAAGGGTCGCCAAAGCGGGTAATTGGGGGTGCATATAGCATGGAAAGTAGATCTGACTCTCGAAACAGGATCACATAATGCTGAGCGAAAGCTGATCCGGGCTGAGATGTATTGAAGGTACAAAGTATTATGTTGGTACGTGTTAGGCGTTCATGGTGTTCACCCTATTGGCTGCTTCGTTAACCCTTGAAAGAACAACTTCAGCGCGACCTAAACTCTACACAAGAAGCGGGTCGTCTGCTCAATGTCGCCAGGAACAGAACAAGAGAGTAATCGAGTTCACCAGTCGAACCCCAAGCTCATGCAGCTAAACTGTACTACCACATTGAAGAACCAATAATCTTTCAGTCATCTTATTGCGAACACATTCAAAGTATATATAAGTAGATACCTACACAAGACTACCACACAACATTTCGTCTGGACATTTATTGACATTAAGAAACCAATTACTATAGCCATCCTATCATTCAAAGCCTTTTATTATACCACATGAACTTTGGCAACTTAGTTTTGATTATTATCTGATTATAGATCAGATCCTAAAAGAAAAGAAAAATATTCTTTAAAAATCCTGTTACAGAAATTGATATGACAATAATTCTGTCGAAATACGAAGAAAATACTTCAGGAAGTCCGTAAGCTGAACGTAATATATTTAATTCAGACAATGAAACGTTGTTTTTTAATTCCGAAAGACAGAATCCAAGGAAACAATTTGAAATCAAGACAAATTTATATTTGCAAACTAATTAGGTCGAGATGAAACCGGATACTTTGCTGGTCCAAATGCATTGAAAACCGTACATCTGAAAAAAGATCACAGACGGAATGCTTCCTCCATTTTCGATACGAAAGTTCGCAATCATATAAAAGTATATATATATATATATATATATAAATTTGAATTTATATAATATTTCCCCTTACCTAACATATGTTGGTTCTTCACCAAGTAACTGATAACAGGCAGATAGCTACAGAGTTTCATGTCGATTGGGGTCTCCTCAATGAAATTGAGCCGCCATGACTGTGGGTTGTTGGTAAGAAAAGGATTGTCTAGACCACATCTGTTCAGAAATTAGGTTCCAGAATACATTGACTATTTGAGTTCCCGTTCAAAATGGCCACCTGCAAAATACAACAACACATTTGATCAGAATCCATGGAAAATAACCTTTTGAACATTCTGATACATTTTTCACGATATAATAACATTGCAGTATATAAGAGCATGATAATATAAGAATAACATACCTTTAAAAAGCTGAAGTCTCGTCCAAAACAAGCATCAATAGGTTGTTAAGCCTAGGACCTCTGCTTGACAAAATGACTTCAGTTGACACACGAAGTAAACTTAGTATCTTAATCCATGAATTCTGTTCACACCCCAGCTCTGAAAACAAGGGTTGAAGTTTGAGGTTGAACGATTTCTCACACAACACTGAGTAGAATTAAGTCTTTATTATGACTTGAAACACAAGATTGTTAACTCTGGTGTGGTTTTAAAAACGATGGGGTGGGGCAAGGCGCGTCTATTTACTGTCCACCTTTTTCTTAGTAAACTGAATCATAAATACACTTTTATTACTTTTATGTGAGCTGAAGTATCAATTTCAGAATAGTCTAGTACTGATAGAAATGGTTTTGCGCTGATAAAAATATTATTATTTTTGTAATAATCGTCAATTGATCAACACACTTTTGAATGAAACGTTACTCTATCAACAAATTTCATAAAAACACGTATATTGGTAAGATGAATGCGAATTTTAATTTTGTTCGATAGACAGTTAGTGAAGTGTTTCTCTTGACATAACACATTGACCTCTAGACGCAGTATTAGACCGGCAGGCAGTAGCAGTTTGGTCAAACATACTTGGTACCATTTGTGAAGAATTGGGCGTCTGCATTTGGCCCCCGTAAACCGCGAAATAAGGCTTAAACGTATTCCACTTACTATGTATTTCAGGGTACATGTAATTCATACGTAGTTGGGGAAAAAATTGTCCATGCCTGCTGCATTGGGCCTGCTAGACACACCAAAAGGGTTTAGAGATTTTTGCCTAGATCAAACATTTTTGGTAGCCCATATAATCACATCTGAAAAAATGCAGAATTTTTCATTCAAAGTAATTTCAATCTGTACGTTCGAAGGTCAATTTGGTCAAAGCACTAGTTGGGGTAAGAATCGGTGTTTAATTTATCCGGAAATGACAATTCTGCAATTCCTTTAGATGTGTCAAAGAAAACAACTTTGTTTCAATTGGTACCAATGTTTGATGGAGCCGTTTCTTTTCTTTCATTTAAGATTATATCCCACTAATCCGTACTAGTGTTGTGTTGATTCTTTTCATGTTCCATTTCACCCGATGCCATTCTCAAATCGACATTCTTTATATTTCATTGTCTATCTATATTTGAGCAAGGGTACGAATCTACTTTTTTTTTTATCCATAATCTTGTAAAAGTAAACAAATTTCAAAACACATCAAGCGAACTTCCTTACTCAGAAATAACTACAATTGTCAAAAAGTAGAATGAAAAAAGATTGATGGTGTACTTCACAGGATGATACTATATACACCTACTATTTCTGTTATTTTGTAGAAAAAAGTGAAATATTGAAAAAAAACCTTAAAGATGGGTTCCCCTTTTTACTTTTATGAAAATGAAAATGCTAATACTTATATGAATAGAAAGGAGAAGTGTTCTAATGACTTCGAAAAATACCGGTTTGTCTCACATGTCCATAATCAATTCATAATTAGCTACAGAAGAGAATTACCAGAAGAATTCCAAAGAGTGGCCGATCAAGAAAGGTCAAAAGGTCGTTTTTGTGTTTAGCCAGACTGTACATTCATGAACATTTATGACTGGTTAAAATTTATAATTTATGTTAATATATGATAAGAATACATGATAATTCATTAGAAACACTAATTAATCACATAGTTTGCTTAACTTGACAAATAAGGAAAACCACCTTTAAAAGCTAAGTTGTTTCTAAATTTTCGTGATTTTCGTATTACTTTCTATAAGACAAGGTTTTTGATATTTGGCATTTGAATTCTTCAGCTTAAGCAGAATAATAATTTCTAAAATATGTTGGTAAATTGGTCAATATTGGGGCTTGAAAATCTGTAGTCAGTATCATCTCATTATATATCACTACATAGTTTTCTTTATAGAATTCAATAATGATAAAATAGAAAAAAGAATCTTAAATTTCAAAATTTCCAATTAGTAATCAAGAAGGATGATATAAAATTGAATACATGTGCATAATGCCCCCCCCCCCCCCCCCCCCCCCCCCCTCGCCCCTCCTCATCAAAAAAAATGTTCAAGGTAAGGAAGATGTTAAAAATTGTCTATATAATGTTATGAATGATTTCGATTATTTTATTTACATGTATAGATGAATATTAAGACTACACACTTAACATATTTTTTACTAGAACATTCACATTTAAACGAGACGATCTACTTCTACTCTAATCGTGACATATAAAACTTTACTGCAATCTGTCATAATCAGCATAAAATAGGTGGCATACGGGGTTGTCATTTGTCGCCTGATCTTTTCACTGTTTCCTTAAATGACCCTAATACAAGTAATACTGCATAAGTAAGTCAAGTTATGAGTACTTCTTCCCTGGCAAGGAACTTCTGAAAATGAAAATATGCATATTCTAAACCAATACATTAATCGGAAAAAACGTCAAACAATTTTGCAGTGTTGTTTAGTATGACGTTGGTTATGTTTAAAAAAGATGTCACCAAACCAATTGCTTATAAGTAGTAGTATAATAAATGTAACCGACCATCATATCCGACATTGATTGACAAGTACAGTATTTCTTTTACTTGTCAGATACATCATTTGACGGAAATAGCCGACTCCTACGTCGTTTGTGTTCGTTATTTGCTAAGATATTTACTCAGGACGAGGTTGGATTGCGTCAAAGGTCATTAAGACTAGGTGTTCACAAACGAGATCGCATCAATCAAATATAAATTCTATTCATCTATCATAATATAATAACTCTATATAATATACCACCAATTTCTATTGTACATTTTACTTTATAACCATCGTAAGACAATATACTTAAGAGACAATACTGCTATTTAATTTTATACCCCGGGATATTTAAGAAACTATTAACCATAAGGATTAATGTATATAATGAATTTTATTGTCTATGGTTGTGGATTAGTATTGCTTTCAACATTAACGGCAGGTAAGGCAAATATATATTATGTAGTAAGGCACAAAATAATTGATTGCGGAAGCACATTAAATCACAAAATCATGATCAATATCATTTTCCATATGGACGTTCAGATGACAAGTTTACGAACCAAATCGTTGAATATCATAAACAGTTTCCAAATCTTCGTATTTTCCATATTTTTCAAGTAATCATACCAATCCTACGCTAAATGCTGTCGATACCTGGCTATGTTTGTACCGGATATGTATTTCAAAACGGCATCCTTTTATATAATATCATGCGTTACAAATAGCAAATGTCGACATGCTGTCTTGTCACATTTACATTTATATTCTATACGTAACATTTTTTTTGAAAACAGGCGACAAACTAATGTCAGAACAGCAAATGGCCTGAGGCATTGCATCACATATATATTGTGATTTGTTTACGCAGTTACAGAAAGACTGTGTTGTATTATACGGGGTCATTAAATTTCTCCATCCAGACAATGTTGAATATTTTATTTCATTTTATTTTTTTGAAAAGTAACATCACCGTAGATTTAAATTTAATATGTTTATGTCTACTAAGAAAATAATGTAGATTTTTGATATCTTTTCCTGTTTTCCTGAAGGAAACGATGACGTCATCATCCTATAAATTTTACTCTAGCGTATTATACCTTTGGGAAAATAAGTCATTGACAAAATAACGCAATACATAAAATGAAGAAAGCTATCATGCATAATAAAATTTTCAATGCAATATTTTTGGAACTAATCTCTCAAAATTAAAAAAAAAGAAAAAAAAAATTACGGTGATGCATTACTATGATTGACGAAGGTAAACGAATTGATAATTAATCAAACTATACAATGCATGCTGTCCTACATCTAGTGTAACCACCATTTTTGGATACATTTTTTTTCAAATACTCTCTCATAATATTTTTTTATAAGTATGATTGAGTCTTCTTGTATGATTGTATTTTGTACACCCATTTTTCAAATACTCAGTCATGATATTTTTTTTAAAGTATGATTGAGTCTTCATGTATGATTGTATTTTGTACAACCATTTTTCAAATACTTAGTCATAATATTTTTTTAAAAGTATGATTGTATTTTGCACACCCATTTTTCAAATACTCAGTCACAATATTTTTTTTAAAGTATGATTGAGTCTTCATGTATGATTGTATTTTGTACACCCATTTTTGGACACATTTTTCAAATACTTAGTCATAATAAATTTTTACAAGTATGATTGAGTCTTCTTGTACAATCGAGATATCTTAATACAGAACGAAAATACAGTGGACTTATTCTGTGGACATCTTAAAATCAGCATCAGACAACAAGCAACAAAGAAATAAAAACAATTTTGAAAAATTCTTCAGGCGAAAATTCATTTTTTTTATTACTGACTACAAGTTCAAAAACCTCCCATCCCCGATATCTCAAGTTTGTTATTAGATTTGTAAGGTAGGGAAGGAGGTGATTATACACTACTGCTCAAACACCATGATTTATAATAAACTTTATTTTTACTTTTCAGGTCAGCTTAGCTCACTTAACGGTAAGTTTTCTAAATTGATGTCAGTTGCAATTTTTGAGGATTCTAGAGCAGGTGTCTTCAGTCTTCATATTTCTTTTGCCCCTTTCAAGATCCTTCGAAGATTGCGCTACCCCCTCCCTAAAAATTGTTATTATCTTGTGATTTTGTCTTACGTTTTAACTGCAATCTTTTTTATGTTGGAGAATGTAACCTAACTGGACAACTTAAATTTGTCCTAAATAATGATTTTTTTTAGTTGACTTCACAGCACCTCATTACGCCCTAAAAAGTTTAAAAACTACCCCCCTTAGGTTGAACCCCTGATCTTGAGTTATTATCTGCGTGGTCAGTGTCCACAGTTCAGTTTCCGCGAAAGCAAGATTATAAGGTTACAGAGTGGCATAGGATATGTGGTCGACGAACAACAGCAACGTTGTGCATAAATCGTTTTTTCTGAAATAAATATTACTACATCTTCCATCTCTAAACATGAATAGAACAGTAAGACAAAAATCGTCCTTTTCTTTCAGAATGTACCACAAGTGAATGGTTTGGATGTTTGTTATCACCATGTTATTTTGCATCGTGCCCTCTTTATCCTGATGCTATCTGCAGGTAAAATACCACGTTTTTTATAACAATTGGTCCTACGTTGGTTGCAGATAACTGATAATCTAAAATCCAATAAGTCAAACTTAATTCATAAATACGACATAGATATGGAATGCTTAATCCTTGAAATGTAGGTGAAAGTTCGTTCATTATTCTTCCTTAAGCTGATATACATACTACTGATCATCGTGCAAAATCTTGTCAGATTGGAATAAAGAAAACAGCTTAGGACCAAACACTATCGTGAAATACTGGTTTGGGTTCAATGTTCAATTTGTACACATGTATTTTCTGTTTTAAAGTGTAGAGACTAAAAGTTGTGGAGGATGTCGAGCAGTATGGACTGTATCAGGGCAGGTAGTTGATTGTAAGAAACGACCAAGTGAGTTTAGTTTTTAAGTAAACTGTCAACATAAATATTAAAATTCATAGGATATTTGTGCCTGTCGTGTATGTCTCAACCGATCGAAAAGCACTATTCACTTGACGCAACATGTCAAAGCGATTGAAACATGATTTTGTTCCATGTATTTGCATCCATATTGGATATTGTGTATAATCCATCCACCCATTTCTAGTTATCGCATCAGCTAAAATATAACTATTGCCCTTTGACATAGTACAAATGATATACACCCCGGACTAAGGTCTTTTCAATCTCTTTCAGTGTGTCCCCTTGGTGTAGTAGAAATGACGAATTGTGCTAACAATTTATGTAAAGATCCATTCTGTCCAGATTATCCAAGAGCTACATGTGTGTAAGTATTTCTTTTTCCAGACAATACCAAGAAGAAATCGACAATGTACCTATAAACCAAACCCACAAATCTTTAGCAAAGTAAATATGTGTTAACCATGTAGTTACGATGGGGTATCGGCATCAATTTCAAAATTTTAAATTCTTACATTTCTACTCTAAATCTTGTATGGGTTTGCTCCTACAATTTTTGTCGTGGTCTTTTCCAGGCCTGATATATGTGGTCATTGCGAAGAAGATTATTATCAAGATGGAATTAGAGTGGATTGTATCGGTTCATTTAGAGAACAACTCAGAGAGTTGCGTTTGATGATGAGGGAGCAAACATCTACCATAAGTAACGGACCATCCAATTCGAATTCTCGCTCTAGAAATAATCCTCAAAGAATTACACCAACGGTTCAGACAGCACCAAATACTCTTACAAATAGCGGGCCAGTTCCCAATGTTCTTAGCAATAGCCCTACCAATATTGATTCAGTGGTACAAGTAGCTCCCGTACCTGATTTAACTGGTGTCAATCCCAACGTGCAGCAGCCGGATATGATTGGAAACTTCAATGAAGCTAATCAATTCAGTTTATCGTCTCCAAGTGAAATGCCACCAAATAATCCAATCGAAACTGCACCACTCATACCATCTTCTCCGGTGGTCCGACCACTTGATACTCCTGCTGCAACAATTCCTCAGGTGTCAGATTCGTTAAACCAAGGTGCCAGTCAGCCAGAATTAAAACCTTCAGCGAACACAGATCCATTTGACATGTTTAGAGTCGGTGGTATGAATGAACCAGCCGTTGGTTCTCCCGTACCTCCTGAAATTAATCCTATACCAACAGAAGGTTTCAATGCTTTTGCTGAGTTTGGCATTGATGGCCCCAATGAACCCGTCAATGCTGTTCCACAGATGAATCCACAACCTACTGCTGCTGAACTGATACCTGAAATCAATCCTAAAACAGTTGAACCTATAAATCCTTTCGCTGATTTTGGTCTTGGTAGCCCGAATGAAGCTCAACCCAACGCACAAGACACATTGAATGTTCCACAGAATTCTGAAGTACCTGCCTCTCAAAGTTTAATACCCGATGTAATACCTGGGCCTTCACAGGATTTTAATGCTTTTGCAGCCTTTGAGCTTGGAGGTCCAGTCGAACCTATTGGGAACACCCAAAAAATTGTTCCACAGAGTTCAAGAGCTATTATTACTCCTCAACAAAATAAACTACCTACAGCAACTAATGTCGAACTGCAAATCAATTCTCAACCACCATCACCAGCAGTAGCAAATCCACCAACAGAGTCCCCGACTCCTTTTCAAGGTATGTTAATTATGAAGACCATTATTAAAAGCATGCAAGATATAAAAATCAGCTGAGTACCATTTAGTTCTTCATTTCTTGCTATATATATCCCGTAGAAAGGATTTAGCGATGCTTTTTGCTACCTTCCGCTTAGGGCCCCGGTTCCCAACCTGGGGTGTTTTCTCCCCTGGGAGTGTGGGACTAGGGTGTCAGAGGGTGTGGCCAACTGATGTAGGAGAAGAATTTATTTTGAATTGAGAAAGCACCTCACATCAACAAATGCTGAAAATGCGGATGAAACACATCAATTTTGGGGGGTATGGAGGCTGAAAAAGGTTGGGAACCACTGGCTTAGGGATAGTGACTAGTGTAAACCTTTTTCTTCGATATCTTTCAGTTTCTGCCTGTGTGAAGGGTTATGTTAGACGAAACTGCACAGAAAATGCGTGTGCTGGGCAAACATGCCATATCCCTGGTGCAAGATGCTTGTAAGTATTTATGATAATTGATTACAAAAAGTGCGTGCCATTGATTATTTTTTTCGGGAAATAAATTACTAGGCAGCACTTAACTCATTTCACACCGCAAAATGCAATTTGGTCTTGGTAAATGAAGGAGAGTAATTGCTTTGTTCTGGTCTGTGGGGCCATTGATGTTGTATATCTATATTTCAGTGAAAGTAATTGTGGAAGTTGTCGTGCTGAATGGTATTTAGATGGTAGATTGGTAGACTGTAGTTCAGGTTAGTTATTTATTTCATGTACATCATTTGAATCTCTGCGCTAAATCTCTGCTCAATCCTTGTTAAGATTTGTTATTTCGGTTAGATTAGTTTGGGGTTATGCTCTCGCCTTAGCTTAAAGGGATTGTAAAGAGGTTTTCTAAATGTGTTATGTGTATCGGGGACATTGATAGCATCGATTTGCGCCAGTCCAATTTTCGATCAGTCTGTGGTTCCGGCAATTCCACTGAAACTTAGAATTTGATGACGTCACTAATAGCGAAGGGCTTTATGTATTAACCCGATACACATAATTGTTTTTTTTTAAAAAAAACCTCTTTACAATCCCTTTTAACTATATTACCAAGCGATTACAGTTTATGATCCAAGCATTCACTATCGGAATAGAACTTCCTATTGAAAACTTTTCATTCTTTAATCTCCGACAATGTTGATAACTCACACCTGTGGTGATAGCCTCACACAGATAAATATTGTCATCTTAACTTATTTATGGATGTGTTCTTTTACAGAATGTCCACCAAGCACGATTACAGCTATTTGTACCAATCCATGTTCATACATGTCATGCCCTGCCCATCCAAATGCTGTTTGCAGGTATGTATGTTCCATTTCAAATATGTCCGAGACTATTATTCAATCACTCTCTTACCTACGCATAGTGTAACCTGAATTCTGCGACTCAAAACATTCCAATGTCGCATAGACATTATGAATTTGGTTGCATGAAAATATAATGTCATCTTGTTAAACTGACAATCTGAGCTATATCAGTATGGTCAAGTATATATTTTTTTTAGAATTCAAATGTATGATATTGTATATTTAGATCAAATAAATGTGGTATCTGTACAGCAGATTTCTTTGTCAACAATGAACAAGTTAGTTGTGATATACCATCAGGTAAGTACTATTTTTAAAGTTTTTATAAAAATACGTACATGAAAACCAATGCCAGTAACTAAATAGCTCGTCCAAAGCATGACTAAATGGGGAGCAATAACTGTAGACTCAGTAGACTCATCTTAGAGTTACTTTCTTCTCCATCATCTACCAAAGTTACACACGAACAGACCATCTTGTTAATGATATTCAGGTCAATTTCCAGTCAAGTCGATATATACTCTCTAATTTGAAAATAACTATAAGTTCTTAAGCTGATAAAAAGAAATGACAAAATGATGAAGGTTTATTATAAAGGAAGAATATGCAATACCCGCTATTTCTCGACACAGCCTATTATGGCTTTACAACTACAAATATTATTAATGCTTTTAATCAAATAGTACCTCATGTGATAATCATTTTTTAGATCCTTGTCCCGCTGGTCAAGAACCAAAAGGCTGTGTCTGTTTTTCAAAGATATGTCCCATGGACAGCCAGGCTAGATGCAGGTAAACACAATAACTATTATTAGCTACAGATGTTTTAATGTGAATCATCTTGGATGATAAATGACATTTTATGTTGGTATGAGAAAACGTACATAGCAGGTGGGACTCACCTTTCAGAGTGGTTTAACATAATTTTCGGACAAGCATTAGAGGGGAGGAGAGAAATGGTGATTTAAAATCTCTATACCCTAACCTAAACGTGGGAGATCATACCTTCGGATTTTTCAACCCGGTTTCCCTCTGTCGGTGGTGCAGGTAAGAGTAGCTGACATGGAAAAAGCGTCTAGTTGTTCGGATGGGACAATAAACCGATGCCCCGTGTGCTACAGTCTGTGCACATTAAAGATCCCTCGACAGTAGGAAATCGAAAAAGAGCAGGCTAATACTACTGTCCTGGCAAAATTTCCCTCATTGCACCCTGCATGGTGCAAAAAAGTAGGACGTGAAACTCCATTCATTTCATTTCATGTCCTCAAGGTGGGAGGAGTTCTGATGCCTTTGCCGGTACTTTCGAGAGTCGACCAGGTGTCATCCCTCACTTCCTAATACGTAGACCACTATGGGCACATTTCATTTGGTGTTCTCTACCTGGATCAGTTTATGGGATACATCATGAAAATAAATTTTGCAATCTGTGGGACCTATCCAAAGACCTTTTCAAAATTCATATCCAACGACTACTGATCCGGTAATGCAACCGAAGTATACCGCGCTCATTAAGTCTTTCGTGTAATGAATGCACCATTGAATGTTTCTGAAATGTATAGCCGAAATTCAGTTTTATCACCTGGTAAATCCGGCCCTGTACCGCCTATTGGAAAATATAATAGAAAAAGATCCTTGCATTTCATTATCTCTATATTTCAGAATTGTTGGTTGTGGTAGAAACTGTAAAATACAATATTATAAAGCAGGATTAAACGGTACAGAAAACGTGTCTTGTGGATGGTACAGCCGTAAAAGAACATAAAACTGTTAACTGTCATTAATTTATTATGTATTTAATAATTTTCTTCAAGTGCTGGGGACGTGCATTATATTACTCTGTTTTCAATCGATAGTTTTTTCTCTCTCTCAAATACTAGTGTAGATGTTATTGGCTTATTAGATTAACAATTCGACACTCTTAACTAGGTTTTGTGGTGCAACTATTTAACATTAGTCTCAAATGCAACATAAACCTTTTTTGACAACGAACGCAAATGATGTGCGAGGTTGCATAAAAATACTCATTTTCCTAGAATCAAAAATTGATAAAGATATTTACATATTTGTTTCCAATACAAGTACAGTGTTCTCTTTATCAGCAATTAATCAGTAGTAATTCTGACCTATTTATATGTATTATTTCCATCCATAATCCATCTAATGAGGTTCCTCTCAAAACCTTCAGAGAAAATTGTCAAACATAATAATTTAACGAACTAGAACAGAAAGATACACGCACACATTTAGTAATAACTTACTATTATGTCTCTGTAAATGAATTATTGAATATATTAAGCATTTTTTACACCTGTATTTTGTGTTTTATTTGTGTTAATATTTGATTTTTGAAACAAATGAAACAAATTCCATGGACGTAAATTTATTATTATTTATCTTTCAATGCATAAAACACACATTTCACATTTTACTTTTTCCATTAAAAGGGATTGTAAAAGGTTTTCTAAAATTTTTATGTGTATCGGGGACATTAATAACATCAATTTGCACTATTCCATTTTAACTAAAACTAACTGTTTGATGACTTGTTGCTCTTCGTGATTAGTGGTGTCATCAAACACTTAGTTTAAGTGTAATTGCAGGAACCTCAAACTTCTAATTGAAAATGGGAATGTTGCAAATTGATGCTATCATTGTCCCCGATACACATATTTTTCTTACAATCCCTTTAAATGCACAGCTTTCCGCTCCCAAAATACAGTTTTTCGACTTATTGTCAAATTATTAATGATTTGGGATTGTCTATCTGAGATATGTTATTTATATGGCGACGCTGCCATTCTATTCTAGATTGTCATTTGTCAGTTGTGATTTTTTTCACACGCATTTATTTGCATTTTTCAGATGAGAAAAATGCACGATATCATGCTTAATTTGACAAATATCTCAATGTGATTTAATGACTTCCGAATATTAATAATTTATTGAGTGATTATTTTAATATTTGATATTAAATATAGAGCTTTTTTATCATTAAAACTATGATTCACTGGCATGACCTTTTTTACGTGACAAATGGTAATCGACAACATTTATTTTTGTTTATTGCCTGAAGAAAATTAGTCCACTGGCTGAAGTAAGTTTATTTTGTGTGCTCCAACCAATTAAAGGGGGAGTGTGAGTCAGCTTAAAATTGACTTCATCCCGTCTCCTTTTTTTAAATTATCTCTGGCCTTCTTTTCACATTGTGAAGATATGTTTTTCTGCAGGGTCAATAGGGGCAGTTATATCTGTTTTATGAACTTATATGGTTATAACTTTTTTCATAAATGTGGATTACATTTCACCATTCTCACTTTTTCTTTTTGACATATATCATATAAATTAGAGACACTGCAACTAAATGTCGAACATAGCTCAAATAGCTTTCATGTATAATAAACTAATCCGTATCCAACCAAGTCTATTTAGTTCTTTTATTGTATTCATAATTTCACCCGGACGCTCTACCTCGTCTATTCGAAACTGATGAATGTAATACCTCGCTATAATTCATTATATCATTTTAACTTGCAATCGTTCGTTTGGATTTGCTCAGGTGCTCTAGTTTTGGTTTTGAATTTTTTGGCAGACACACGACAGTGCACGATTTCATTATTCCAGTTGATTTTACGTAGCTAGTTTATTTATCTTGGGCTTTTTGCAGGATTTAAAAAAAAATAAGCTATGATATTGCTCTACCTTGATTTTGGTGATAGATTTTATTTTGATTAGAACTTTTTCTCTTACTGTGTGAAATCCTATAATTTAAATGTAGAATAAATTTATTCCAAACTAAGTTGTTTTATAAGTATCATGACTCGTAAGTTTACATTCCAGGAAAAGTTATCTACCCTTACTTAGCCTTCAGTTATAATGCTGGAACGATTTGAAGATAAAAATACATAGCCTGGGCGATGTGAATAAGAATTATTTCCCTACAGTTGTATAAAACAAACTGGGCTTTGCCTTGGCGTTTAAATTCGATAATGTCGGCTGTTCCTCAAATAGCATTTCGAGGATATTTATAGCGCTGCTAACATGATCCGTAATTCCAGATAACTTTAGAATTACAAATGTAATATTCTTTGGTGTCACACAATGAGGCTAATCACTATGTAACAGTTTTTTAGCTTTAACTAGTGAATATGCTGCCCAAGGACCTAATTGGTTCAATCGTCAAACTATATCCCTTCACTGTGGTAGATAACAGCTGACCGGGGAAAACTCAGATTGGAGGAGCTGCAAAGGATAAAAACCGATTGATCGTGTGTAACGAACGTGCATGCACGCCGAACATCTCTCAACAGTTGAAAAACGAATCTGCTTATTATATCGTAAGGCGGTTCGACATTAGCTCTCCAGCAATGTTTGGACACTTTAAATTGAACATACGGTAATTAGTCGCAATGACAAATAACTCTGTTTTCCAGGACCATTTACGGTGGCCACTTATTGTTATCACACGATGTCTCTGTCATTGCAGGTTTTCTCCACGGTGCACATTGTTTGGCATTGCCATCTTCATTTGCCCAAACTGGAGCAGAAAATGTGCCAATCTCTGGAAATTAAGCCAGAAGAGTAAAATTATGTATTCTCAGCGCTCTTGATAAATATAGATATACTGGTCTGGCTTTGTTTTCCCACACCTCAATACAATTAGTTTCATTATTTGCCCCCCTTGGCAATACTGTGACCCTCACTTGAACTCTCTACCTTATGATTACCAGAAAAGCCACTGATTTGAAGAAATTCAAATATCGTTCTAAAAATAATCAAATATTAAAGGATGAAATAAAACAAATTTGAAATGAAGAAGATAGAATATTCAGGAATATTCGAATAATATAAAAAATACTAAGGAATATTAAAATAATATAAAAAAAATACTAAGGAATATTCGATTAATATAAAAAATACTCAGGAATATTCGAATAATGTAAAAAATACTAAGGAATACACACGAATATTCATTCAATATAATAAATATTCAGGGATAATCAAGATATATAAAAATGGTCATAAATATTCAATACATAATTATGTAAAATATTCAGGGATATTCAACAAATATATAATATATTCAGGAATATTCAATAAATATAAAAATGATAAGAAATATTCAGGAAATATAATAAATATTCAGGGATAATCATATTATTATTCAGTAATATTTAAGAAATATAAAAATCTTCAGGAATATTCAAGAAATATGCAAAATATTCAGGGATATTCAATAAATATATAATATATTCAGGAATATTCAATAAATATAAAAATGATCAAAAATATTCAGGAAAAATGCAAACTATTCAAGAATATTCAAAAATATCAAAATACTCAGGAATATCAACATATAATAAAAACATAGTAATATCAACAAATATTATAAAATATCAACAAAGGTATAAAAAATATCCGGGAACAAATATATAAAATATTCAGAAAAAAAATATATAAAAAATAACAACAAATATATAAAAATATTCAGGATATTCAACAAATATATAAAAATACCGGTATTCAAGAATATTAACAAATATAAGAAAATATTTAGAAATATCAAACATAATTTATGTATTTAAAATTTGAAAAATATTTTTCAGTTATCTGAAAAAAGTCTTAATTCAACTAATTTCAAGGCTGACGCACATCAGATTGTGCATGATTAATGGGGACTCGTCATTGACCGATCATTATACTTAATGAGAACATTCGATGTAACCTCTGGCTTGTGACATACATGTCCATGTATTATCATTTAGCTAAAATAAATGGTCCATTTTCATAAATCCCCTTTCTTTTATTCAAAGCTGTCAGTCAAAAGTCTAAGGAATGCCAAAGGCGATATGTATGACATCAAGTAAATGGGGTTCACAATTCGGAGGTCGTAATATATTTTATTTTGACAAGACACGATTCTCGTTACTCGACATTTGGTATCAGATTTTCTCTTCAACTGGATGCTCCTGTGATTGAGGTAAATGAAATTTTATGATCTCAGCAATTGAACCGTGATTATACATGATGAATATAATGTAATTTCACTTGATTCTAAACTTGATTATATATACTTCTATCTTAAAAAAAAAGAGCAGATTTTGGATTAAGAAGAGTCAAATCAAATTGTATAGTAAATTTCTTTCAGAGGGTGAATAAAACTTGATTTGGCTAAAATATCGATATTTACCACGTCTGAAGACCATGAAAAAGTCGAACCCACATGGATTCGATATAATTTGATAACACTCAAGTAACTTTCGGTTTAAAAAGGAATACATATTCGCTTGGCCAGCGAATAGAATTAGTTCTGCTTCCCATAGCAAATTCATGATGGAAATCCTATGTCTAATTCGTCATAATTTTAAATTCAAAAAACATTTGAAAAGTTCTTTTTCAATTCGACAAGAATACGAAAAATATTTCGCAAATTTCAATCGCCGAATCGTGTGATTTTGTTGCAGAGAACAAAAGGGAGTTTAAACAGATAGTATCATAAGTAATCATACCACATTTCCGCAGGTTATATTGAAGTAAGAAAATACATATGTACAGATTTCGTATATAGTGTAAAAATTATATTCTGTTACATAACTCAATTAAGTACTGCAATATTAGCGACGCATGTGCATCTGGAAAATAATCATTTATCACTATAATTTTTTCAGAAGAATATACGGAGCTATAAACAAAATGTTATCGTTATGGGCTATAGGTGAGTGAATCTTTTTTCTGATATTGCAATATATCTTTGCTCTGTACTTTACCCTCTTTCGTACCTCCAGATATATTTAAAAGTATTGATATTCAGAAGAGCGCTGTTATAATATTGTGTAAGGACGATGAATATGTCAATTTCCCTTCACAGCCGAAGGCATCTTCTGCTTAAAAGTATCATAAATTACTGACATATAACTGCCATGCAGAATCACGTAGACGTCTTCCCAGTATCTCTTGTTCACAAATCTTGTCAAAATTATTAGTGACATACGTCCTGTTTCGAACAGTAGGTTTATCGAAATTGAATCCTACCCAATAAAAAATACTTCAGACATTGTGCTTTCTTTTCTTGATAATGACAAGGTTACAATTTTTGCCAGATTTTGCCCATTCAGTCAAACATGTAGAAAAGGACAATTCTCATTTATCAATAACGTAGTTTGCGATATTAGAATCCGCTGAAAGCGAAATTAACTTGCCATCTACCAACCAACCTGTGGTAATTTAAGCGTCATCGACAAAACTTTGCAACTTTTTTTCTTTAAGTAATTGGTATCCATATATTTGTTAAAAGGTATCATAATCAGAAGAAATGTTTCGGATGAATTCCCTTTGAAATAAAAAAGGGAGAAACCATCATCATCATCAACACATCTCTGGTAAAAAGACCATTCGGCTTAGATCAAATGTAAAAAAAACTATACCAACAAATTATATAGAGGATTTCTATGATACTTGAAAACTTTTCTTAAATAGGAATTTGAGGAATCAAAATTTTTGAAATCATTTTCAGTGTTGGTTTTACTCTTGAGGAAATTGGTATTTGGAAATTAGTCGTAATTGATTGTGGGCGGGTTTGATTTTCAAAAATCAGAACAGAGCAGATATTATATTGAGAAATTGATTAGGTGAACTAGATTGTCTGGATATACTTTGAAGTGACCAGGTTAATACATTCATGACCTCATATCCCGGATCCTAAACTATGCTCCTGTCATGTTTGAAATCGTGATGTCAGGTGACAAGTCATGTCTGTTTTATGATTGGTCCAACAACTTCGTCATAGATGGTGACAATTGTCTGACATTCTCGGATAAAAACATCAGTAAAACACTAAGCTTTCTGTAATAATTTATCTCTGACAACACTTAAGTGATGATTTACCGAATTTCACTTCCATAAATCTAAACAAAACAAGCTTTGTGTTGCACATTCATTGCTTTTGTTGTGTACAAGATACCTACGCAGATCTAGACTTTATTGCTGAAAATTTTAATATTTATTGTTATTAAGTCAGAGATGTAAGTCAGCTGTCAAATCGGAAGGGCAAATAATGAAAACTTGAACCTTCCTGATAACTTTCAAATCATATCTTTATCAAGTACTTTTGGCTGTTTATACAAGATCCGAGAATGTAACCCACATAATTATTTTTGAAAATTAGGGAAAGTTAGCAAATCTACCTCTACAAACTACATGCCTCTCACTCTAGTGACCAAAGTTTATGTTTAAGTTTATGGAACATGCTACAAATTTGCTCAGTTCTGCTGAAATAAATAAGGAAAGTTGACATCAAATACCATCTTTGCCATCAACAAATTACAAAGCTCTGCTAAAACACTTGAATATGAAAAATGATGTTCAATTTTCTTGTTACTATAGGAACCAAACATATGCTTAAAATGGAGAAAAATCACTCCAGTCTCAATGAAACAACGACACAAAAAAGTACCATCATCAACCACAAGTCTCTGACAATGTATATCAGAGATAATACTAATTATGAACCTTTCTATTTGTTAATTTTATGATGCCATTTGCCAGTATAACGTTTTAGAAATGGGTTTTGTAAGTTCTATACTCGATCGTCTTGAAAGGGTTCAGCCAGCTCTCATTAGACAATTTAAAAGGTCATTGCCAAGGGTTAAAAGGCGGTGATACAGGTGTATTGAGCAGAAAACTCTAACCCATGTGATGTATACTTCATTTCATTTGTCGACTTATTGTTTGAACCAATGTATCGGAATGTACTGGATGTATTTTCCTTTCTTTTTATATTTTGATAACAACGTTTTGTTCTTATTTCAGGTCTCTTGGGGTTATTGAATCAAGGTAAGCTTAGTTTCTAAGAATTGGTACGGTGAAATTTTTCATTTTGTTCACACATAATTAAACACTAATCAACATTTTTTCACTAACTTCCCTTAAAGTTCACAACCGAAACAGCCAATCAAAGGGCCGGGGCGTCATAGTCATATTCCTCAGCTAAGGGGCTCCCGGGACACAAACCAAACAATTTGACTACAATGCCGATGCGACTGATTTCATACTGCGCCTGAATCGTACAGCAGTGTTTTTTGAATGAAATTAGTTTCTTACTTTCTGGGATACGACTTTGGCTTTATTAGTACAAAGGTCAATCTAACTAAAATTAGATTTCGATTCAATGGGACCGAAAAAAAAACGAAATTGTAATTGTTATCTAAATGAGGTTGATCGATTTGTGATTCGAAGCATCTGCATGTAAAAGAGCAAATGCTCAAATCGGAAAGTTGAACGACTACCAACAACTGCGATCTACTGGAATTTCGCACATTCCTACTGCTCAGATATTTTTTCTCGTGTAGATGGCATTTGTAATTGATGCTGTGTAAGAAGGAGGAGACGGAGCTGACAAAACAAAAAAGTTATGCATCCGTTAAGGTTATTACGTACTGGAAACTCCATGGTGGATTGCAAGCACAAGGTCTTGCGATGGCTATTAACTGAAATGCCTATTCCTTTCGAGGCTGACAATACTACGTTACATAATTATGTAGATTTATCACTCTAAACCAAATCACACTAAGGATTAGGACAATCGAAGATCTATCGCGACGCGACTTCCGCGAAATTTTAGTTGGTTTGATAACCTAATAAACACAGACGTACATGTATTCCATTTTTTATCTTTTCAGTGGAAGCACTATGTAAGTACCAGAATACTTTTTACCTAACAGCAAAAGAAACATCCCATATGGAATTTATTTTGCAAAGATTTATTTTTCATTTGTTTTGCACAAAAATTGCACCATCGAATTAAGTAAGAATTTTCAGTCACATTAGCATTTATCAGTGATTCCATCATTAGCTGTCTTCATGTCTTATTTTTTATCCTTTTTTTTATGTGAAGTATTAATGGCAATCTAAGGATGACTATCCATGATTAGTGATCACCAAAAATAGACACACAATTTCGTAGTGCAACTTGTTTTTACATGGGCCGATTTTGAGTCAAAATTTAAGACGAAATTTGCGTATTAACTTCAAATGCAAACCTTAAACAATGCCCACTGTTATTTTTGTAATAATGTAATTCTCAAATCATTTTGAAGCTTTAATTCTAATTCTCAAAAATAATACATGCAAACCGATAAGAGTTTAAAGACAGTATCTTATATCAAATTTTTCTTGAAAATATTAAGCTTTGACAGAAACCTCATCCTGTTTGTTGCTTTATCTATATATTATGCTCTATGTGGTGTTTCTTTTGCTGTTATTGTTGTTTTGTCGATACTATATATACTTGTATTGTACGTGTTTCTTTGGAAATTCAGACTATAAATGAATCAGCAGAATTCAGTACAAAAATATTTCAATTACCTCTATCGCTGTTGATGGTACAGATTACTTGTGTATAACCAATTTACATGAATTATTTGCAGGGTCGCCATCATCTTATCAGTCACCAGCTCAACAGAGGTCTGCCCAATTTTCCTCATCAGGTTGGGGCACTTCACCAGCTGCACAAAATCCATGGAGTTTCAATCGCCCTATGCCCAATACTAATATGCCAAACATGAATACTGGAAGTTTGCCTGGTAGTATGCCTGGTGCTATGCCTGGAAGTATGCCTGGTGCTATGCCCGGAAGTATGCCTGGTGCTATGCCCGGAAGTTGCCTGGCTATGCCTGGAAGTATGCCTAATGCTATGCCTGGTGCTATGCCTGGTGGAACAGGATCTGGTTTTATGGCAGGTGCAATGCCCGGTGCTATGCCTAATATGCGATCATCTAATAATATGATGGGAAACATGCGGAATGGTTATCCACCGTCTTACATGACACCTAGTCCTAGAAATACAATTTGTGTTGCACCGGTCTCTCAACCAAGATTATGTATGGTGAACGGAGGTTTGTTATTTCTTCGTTATTGTGGGGAATTCATCCAGAGTGATTTGTTTGTCGTTTTGTGATACCAAATCATGTTCATAATAGAGGATGGCTACTGCATCGCATATATTTCTTGAAAAATAATTAAGTAATTAAATTCTTCAAAAGTGCTTATAATAGGATCGTGGTAACCAAAAACGAATCATCATATTTCAGTGATGAAGTGGCATAAAGAGAGCCTCAAGTTTCAACGGTTTACGCCAAATGCTTAATAGAATCACGTAAATAACTCATGTTATTCCATTATTATCAGTGCTTTTAACATCTATCTGTTTTTCAGAAAATACCCATAAATACAGATTGAAAGGTAAATATTTTTTTGATTGATGTGATAATACATATACCAAATACATAATAGTTGAAAGGGATAATAGTTGACCGATTCAGTTACAGAGAGACACCAGGTTGAAAGAGTGAAAATGTTCCATCACCTGCCACGATACTTATTATAGTAGAGATCAAAATCTTAAGGCGAGAACTTAAGCAATGATCATATTTAATGTTGTAAATGATCAAGAACTTCTGATTACGACTAATCTTATGTTTGTGCATGTGGTGTATACCAATTGAATTCATTTTTATAAACATGTTTCGGTTACTATTGCTAAAAAGTGCATGTGAGATGCTGTGTGGTCTTAACTATAGCAAATATATGCTTAAGTACACTTAATGACTAAGAACAATCTTGTTATTTTAGATGTCATCGAATTCTTAGGACATCCAAACATCGAAAAGGTTCCTAGTAAGTAGATACTATATTTCTTCAATGAAAAAAACTGATTGTCTCCCTTCGTTTAGTACTCGTCTACCCAGAGTTCGATCCCAACATAGGTTAAAATGATACCTTCTGATGATGATCCAAGCTTAATTTTTTCTCATGACACACTGATATTGCCCGGATTCATTATTTTTTTTTGTCTGATCGCCATTTTGCACCGATCACATGACTTATGGTGTATACGCTTAAATATTACCTTCGTGATCGTGCGTAATAATTTGCTAGCGATTTAAATGTGCACCAAGCAACAGCTACAAATGGAAAGAGTTAGCAGAAAAATATACACGTACTTCAAATTATATATCAACACCAATCAGGCAGACAAAATTTGGTGGTAAATAAGTTTCGTTTTTTCAGAATGTGTACCCGGCGTGCCAAGAGTTAACTGTGCTGATTATTATGCTGCTCAATATATCTGGAAACGTGGATATTGTTATTGTAAAAATTTCCATAGCAATCTGCCATCCTATCAAATGGGATCGACACAAATCCGATGTGTGTAAGTAACCATTTTCATTTCGCTTCCAGGGTTCAATTCCAACATATTATGTAAAGATCAAACCTTCGCATTTTCCCCCTTGTCAGTGATGCAGGTCGGAGGGGCTCATATGGAAGAAGTGTCTAGTCGTTCGGATGGGACAATAAACTGAGGTGTGCTACATGCTGTGTACGTTACAGATTCCACGACCGTTGGAAATTGAAAAAAGAGTAGTCCAGTGCGGCTGACCTGGCATGATGTGCCAAGGAATGGCGTAATAAGTGAACTTAAACCCGTCGATTTTGTTATGTTATATACAATTAATGTCAACCTGTCAGACAAGAAGACTCAGATATGGAAACATATCAAATGGTGTCCATATCAGACATAACATTTATAACAATAAACACAAGGAAATAAATTATGGTAGAAGACACCTCTTTAATAACAAAGTACATAACGTCTCAACAGAATTTGCATATGTCGTCATCAGACGAAATGAAGAAGAGGGGTAAACATATTATGTACTTCGTAAGTAACTAAGTGTGTTTCTTATTATATATGCTCTCCGCTTCTTAATATCGTTCAAATCTTATATACAAGAACTCTATCTTTTTTCCAGGCTAAACAACTGTGGGGCCTGTTCACAAGAATTCTATGTAGATAAGCAGAGAGTCGTCAAATGTGAATAGATGTGGATATTTCAGATGCTTTTTCTTGTCAATTTTGTCTCGTGCTTCTCAAAAGTGCAATGGAAGAGCCTACATGAATTGTTATTAAATTCTATAATATATAATATATTAAATTATATTTATAATTTATATTTATAAGTATAATATATAAAAACTGCTGCAGATACTATCAATTTCTTGTTTTGTTTACAGTGGTAATATCCTGACAATAAGGGCTTTCTGCTGATGTTAGTTGCTTTTATTTATTTTATCAATATAAAGGATTACAAAAATCGATCGTCAAAATTGCCGAAGTGCAAGTTTGAAATTTAATTCATATATTTGTCAAATGTGGGGCTCGGGAAAAATTTCTGCGACTGATGTGCAAATAGCAAAGGATAAGCATACACTTTTTCAGTTTTCAAATGCTCTTAAAACAGAATTACTATTATTACCATACTGTAAATGAAATAAATCATATTGTTTTGCCTTGTTACATTTCGCTGTACTTTCTGCGATCTTATCTATAGTGCTTTAATGTATACTTTGATGTGATATTATAAATTGTGTGATTGCTATTAATCATGAAAATATTCATTATTTTCCAAATATAAGACGTACAATTTTGTTTATTTATTTCTTCAGACATGTATATCGATAGTGGTATGATAATGCCAAACCTTGAGCATTGTAAATAAAACTCGAAAAATAAGTAAAATTCCAAATCAGTTTGAACTGAGAAATTGGGTTCACTAATTTGAACTGTCATGTTGGCTTCACTAATTTGAACTGAGAAGTTGGATTTATTGATTTGAACTGAGAAGTTGAGTTCATTGATTTGAAATGAGAAGTTGAGTTCATTGATTTGAACTGAGAAGTTGGATGTATTGATTTGAACTGAGAAGTTGAGTTCATTGATTTGAACTGAGAAGTTGAGTTCATTGATTTGAACTGAGAAGTTCGGTTCACAGATTCTATCACATTTTCATCAAAACATCGTTTCTTAGCCCGTCAATCAAAGTTGATTGCCCCAATACTGTCTGGCCTTTGTCTCTAGTTTCCTTTCAAGATTATTACAAAAGGTTAAAGGTAAGAGTATGAAAAGTTTCCCGACAGATTTTGTTGACTAGCGTTTTGTTTATCAAACATAAGCAATCAAATTTGTCCAAAAATGTACTTCCCTGATTATTTATAGTAATCCTTCGGCAGGGGGTCAAAATTTTTGACAATTCTTCCCAATTGCTCTACATTTCTCCTCGGCAGTAATGAAGGAAAATGATTAAATTATGAGCATATTATATTGTCATGGAATATTACACTTTGTATTAACTATAAATGTTTTTTATATTTCAGTGGGAGCTCAATGTAAGTCTTATTCTACTATTTTTCTTTATTAATTATGTGAACAATGCATGCACTGTTCGAGTATTGTTCAGGTTGACAGTGCTAGATGCATAAATTAATATTTAATGCTTCATTTGCTTGATACAATGAACAGAATTCATTTTAAATTAAGATTCCCGAAGGGAAGGAGTAACAGCTCTGTCTTGATACTGTTTTATTTTCGATCTTTGGCATTTTATTTATTTCTTTGTCGAAAATTGCGTTAGTTATGCTCCTTTGAGTTAATATACTTTTCATGCATCTACTGTCTCGAAACGACGCATTTGTGTGTCCCAGCAAGGCATGGTAACGTGTTGTTTAGTTTATGGAATTATCATGTTCACATCTCTAACTTTCAGGGGGAACAGGACAATCATTCCAGTTTACACCACCTACTCAACAACCACCAACTCAAGGTAACAACCAATTCGCACAGATGAACAAATTCTTTCCAAGACCAAATCAGACGCCGTCATGGGGGCAAAGTCCTAACCCTACTCCACAGAATGCTTGGAACTTCCGTCGACCAATAACTAATAATATGGCCACCAACGTTCCTGGTAATATGCCCGGGGCGATGCCGAATATGCGAGGAAATTTGCCTAATAGTATGATGAATAACATGCGAAATTTAATGGGCAACATGAGACCAGGTGTGACACCAAACATGCCAGGTGCTCCTGGTTTAGGTGGCGGTTATCCAAGTACTATGTGTTATGCTCCACCTCACTTACCCCACTTATGTACGGAAAATGGAGGTATGTTTATCATGCAATAATTTTACTTGTCACATAATAGCAAGACAACAGCACGACCAGTTTTAGTGTTCTCAACTCAAATGGGAACAGGCCTGTCGTGGGTTCAATGGTCTACTTTGTGGAATCAATTGTCACGCCGCAAGTCATCAATTAAGATTGCACGCCAATATTAAAAACGTTACAAAATACCATATAAACGTTATTCGCTTGAATTGTTACCAAATCCCCTGCTTTATCTGAATGAACTTTTTTTTTTGAATTTCAATGGTCCATGGTTCAATTATTTCATTAAAAATGCCGTAGATGTGAGAATAATCAATGCGGACGTTGTATATTTTGACTAACGTTTAAGAATATCATATTCTTTTATTTCAGAAAACCAACATAAATTCACATTAAAAGGTAATAATTTTTATGTTCATTACGTGTTCGGATTTACGTTGTAGTCGCAATACGCAGCATAGCTGTGATGTGTCGTTTTCCAATCTGTTTTCCGGCATTGGGAACTAACAATTCTATTTCTTATAATTATTTATACACGTTAAGTATCTATGGGAATAAACGGAATGACATCTTTTCTGTTGCAGAGGTAATGAGAATGCTGGGAGATAAAAACATTGAAAAAATATCACGTAAGTAGAATTTTGATTAATTTTTCTCAAATTACTTCCGATAAATTACAAAAAACCAATCCTCAAAATTGTACCTGTGGTCAAAAAATTATTGATGTCATAGTACATTTATCTACACATATCCACCGTAACTGATTATTATTTTTTTTAACAGAGTGTGTGCCCGGTGTACCAAGAGTAAATTGCGCAAATTATAATTCAGCCCAGTATATTTGGAAACGTGGTTACTGTTATTGTAAACGATATCATAGTAACATGCATGCTTTTAAGAAATACGATCCCCTTCGATGTGTGTAAGTATTTCTCATTATTTTTCAAACGTACAAATCCAAACCTTAATTCTATTTTGTTAGTATTCTGGGAAGGGAGGGTACGATTCTCTCATGTGTACAGAGAGAGATCCCAGACTGACATGAGCACAATCTATTAGTTAACATGACAAAATAACAATCGTGACCACCCGCTAAATCCTGATAGGGAATGTCATATCGTCTTTCATTCAAACATGCCTGACATTCCCCGATCTTTAACGCGGAACTGTCGCAAACCACCGGAATTTGGCCGAATTTTGACAAATATTATTGGCATCGAAATATCAACAAATATGTACTGTGCTAAGTTCTAAACAAAATTGGAGAACACATAATATAATGTCAAAAGAGGCTGGAATCGGGCTTAAATTGAAATTCAATTAATGTAGTCACTGATTTTTTTGTTTAAATTTTTCAGGTTAAATGACTGTGGTGCATGTTCACAAGAATTCTACATTGGAAAAAGTCGTATCGTAGACTGCGATTAAAGTATTAGAATCGGAATTTTTTACTTATTTGGTTTATGGTTTTTTGACATTCTGATTTCAAGCTACGCACTTACATTAATGGTTGTTGGTTTAATGATGAATTGTGGTCAAGACTTTTTATTTCGGAATATTTATCGTCGAGTCAAAAAATCCACTACATTGAAAATTTCCTCATTAATATGTGCTAAGTTTACAAGGATATTATTTTTGTGCACTTCGAGTAGATTACTATAGTGACTATTTAAGTCATAAATTATTGTAAATAGTGTTTTAAATGGATTTAAATACCGAATTAAAGGAAAATGTTAACAGTGCAACTAATTCCTCTATTTTCAGACTTTAGAATTTGGAATAAGTGTGTTCTAAGTTTGAAATACCGGAAAGCACAAAATAATAAGCACTTTGCAATTGAAATATCATAACATTAGAACTGTAACTAAGGTGCACATTTTGACTAAGTGAAATGAAAATTGGTTTAACCTTAGTTTGTAGTTGAGATTGTTCGCCCTTGTTTGTAAATTGATACATCAATAAATATGACAAAAATAAGTTATCTCTTCATTTTTAGTTGTTCTCTAATCTAGAAACAACAACAAGAACTTTCATTAGTAATGATGGTACGGGTAGTGTAAAGCGGACGACCACAGGCTCTTACAATGACGTCATACGGGGCATACAAAGACCATTCTGTATTAAATTCAAATCCCAGGTTATGTGGCCCATACCAGTAAACCAGTTACGAAATCCTTTGAACGCCCGTTGCGAGAAGAGCGCTAAGCATGGTTAGTTAAACGTTAATGTTAGTCGGTGGATGATCTTTAACGTTGTCTATGGTCGAAACGAAAGGCCAGAAAGTAACAAACTTTTCCAACAACAGATCCGACCAATCAGATCGACGACAAGATTAATCGACATGTTTGGACTGCATCTACAATTTTATTTTAGTCGTCAGTGCTCACAGCAGATTTCACATTCTCTAAGATAGCACGTCGTACGGACGGTCGGCCTGAGTCCACCAGTTTTGCGATGAATGTTGTCTGCACAGCATAGAGTGAACAATGAAAAATGTGGGACGATTTTAATATTCAAAGTGTTGAGTCAAATAAACTAAAAATAAATATGGTTAATTTCTTATTTCGAAACACACTGTAAATACAGTTGTAGTAAATCAGTTATTATGATATATACCATAAACCTGCCACAGGGCTCTAAAATACAATCACCCAAGTATCTGACACACACTTGAATACTCCCTTCACAAGCTGATATCACAAATGAAAATATATCCATTTATTACCCTTATAATTCAAAATATTGATAAGTGAAGTACCCTTCTGGCAAATATACTGCGAAACACAACTCAAACCAGCCCCACGTCTAGATCCCAAAAGACAGATCTTCGTTGAGGCTATCACAAATAGGCATAGTATAGTCCTGATTCCAATCAAGAAATATATATGCCTAATGAGTATAGTCTTTCCGAGATGAACGGTGACGCCTATAGAATTGATGGCGGTGAGAAAAACAGTGGCTGCTTTGTGAGTACTCTTACAGGATTCATTTTGGTCCTGGTATGTGTGCTGATATCTGTAGGTGTTGGGCTTGTTGTTCATCTGGCTGGTCCCGGAGAAGTAACATGTCATTGCCATTATGGAGATGATCATGTTGGTGGAGTCACAGACGGACAAGGTGGTATTAGTCCTACCACCACGCTGCCAACTACTACTACCGGCTCCATCGAAAACTCAACTTCGTTTCAACTGTGTTTACAATGGGCAGCAGAAGGACATCCAAGGATATGTAAGTAGTTATAAAATTGAAAGCCTATTATTTTAGAAGCCTTCTGAATGATTTAGATAATCAAACGTGATCAAAGCTTTTGTCTGATGATTCCAATTTTCACAGCAGTACATGACTTTGTACGTCCATCCCATACTTTCCAATACATCAGCAAAGATGGTCAAGAAAAGCGTTAAATATACCAAAAACCCTTATAAAAACGCTAAATATCATCAAAGGCTTTATTTATGAATTTTTGTAGTGAAGTGACAGGCACCTTTCTTTGAGTTTTCCAGTGTAAGCCGATGTCGCAGGCTATGACAGTTTGCTCTGTCCAAAATGTATTTATGTGTCTGTTTGTAGTGCGCGGCTAATGCCTAAATTTATGAGTAACAGTGTCCGCAGGCAAATCAGTAATGAAAACAAAAACACCGTAGGCAGAGAGCACGATGTATTTATGGACAAGCGATGGGCGATGTGGGTACTATGGTATATACATGTCACAATTACATATCTAATTAATGTACTTAAACTTTCAAGGTACTGCCTGTGCCGAAGCGAATGTAAGTATCACCACAGATTCAATAACGCATGCACCAACTACTGCAACACCTGAAACAATCATCAACTACCGCTTACCATCAAACACCAAACCATATCACTATAATATCGACCTACAACCCAATATGTATGATGATTCCCCGGATAAGTTTACTTTCAATGGGAGTGTTATGATTTGGATTAAATGCCTTGAAGAATCTGCAGAGATAACTCTCCACGTTGACCGTTATGAAGTAAACGAATCATCCATCGTGGTATCTCATCTGAATGACAACGAGAATCTTTACGTTCGGCACACCAATGATTCTGTAAGACAATTTCTGGTGTTGCATTTAACTAAGAATATGACTGCTGGTGAGAATTATACAATATATATGACATTTGCTGGACCCTTGATTGGTGGTGGTGCCGGTCTGTATCTTAGTTCATATACAGATAATGGGAAGACAATGTAAGTTCATTCGGTTTAATATAGAAACTGCTCAATGGGATACAGCAGAGGTATTAAACACTTCTCTAAATATATCACCACATACTGTTTTGGTCATATATGGAAATCTGCATTGAAGTACTAAGTCTATTTCTTTTAGCAAATTTTCAAATTGTCGATTAGCCTTTGGTAATGGTATAAGATGTTGAATTTTGTTGAAATTTAAACCTAGCTTAGCATGTAATTCATTTTCTTTTATCAAAATGAAGGTGTTAGCAATGAATTGTGTGTTCATTTACTTGCAAAATCGCTTGGCATTTTGAAGCACAATAAATGAACCATTATTTCTCAAATACAAATACTGCTATTATATTCTCTATATAGATATCTGGCCACAACACAATTCGAAGCGCCCCATGCAAGAAAAGCATTTCCATGTTATGATGAACCTGCATTGAAAGCGACTTTCAATACAACATTACGACATAAATTGAACACGGGACGTGATTATATAACGTTATCCAACATGGACATTCTATATAGCTAGTAAGTAATCATTTCATAGTTTTGAGGAATATACTTTCCTCGCATGGTCGTTGGTAAATGGAATTGGAATGGAATGAGCAGTGAGCACACATTATCACTTTTATACTTTTATCAACGCATAGTAATTTTAAGTATTAATAATGTTCTGAATTTGATATTCAAATTAACTTATGTACAAAATTTATAATTGTCCATGTAATTCAGCAAGTCTCCACAAGAACAATAAAAAACTGAGACTGCAATTTTTCTCCCATCTTACTTCTATTACCCTCTTTCGCAACAAATTCAATTTGTTTTGTAATGGTAGGCCTATGTGATGGGGGCTTTTACATAATGAACTGTTTGCAATTGCAATTCCTAGTACAAAGAACCCGAGATGATGTCAAGAAAGCTTCGTTATCGTCATTCTGAAACATCAGACCTAAATAAACATCGTGGGAAAAGTCATCCTAAATACCGTCACCCTGAAAGATCCTATCCGTAAACTGGAGTAATATAATTTGGTTGTCAAAATAGATTATATTCTGACAATAATAATTGCGATATGAAACCCCCTTTCCTCCTGAAATGGTGGTTTTATATTTCAGTGAAGAAGGCGAGTATGGGGTTGATGTTTATTCTACTACAGTCATCATGCCCACTTACCTTCTAGCTTTTATTATTTGTGATTATGAATACGTGGAAGGTATATCAGCCAAAACTCAAATACCGGTAAGTTGTCAACAATTCATTAGGTCACTCACGTTCGAAACGAAAGAACCCCACGTTGGACAATCTACAACTGTTAGCGCATGTTGAAAGAAAAAAGAACCCAACCATTTATTACAAAGGTAACAACTCAGATTCATCATGATCCCCTCCACCAGTTGTTCCTTGGCATTGATCTTACCCTGATTATCTGTACCATTCACACCTGGGTCGATTGGAAAAATTTGAAAATATGACATTCTGGATCACCAGACTTTCAGACGCCGACCGAAATTAGAACCAACGACCACCATTTGTTCGTTTTATCTAAGCAAATGACGTCATATAAAGTTTCCAACGCTCTAAGTGACTGTACTACAGGACCCTCAAATAACCATAAAGATCATGACGTGTGGCCAAGTCATCCCCGTACTTCCAAAATTTCTATTATTAAAATTTCTTGCCTCAATTATCTAGCTAAGCCAATCGGAAATAATGTTCACAACACACCGTCGAAATTTGATCTTTCAAATCCATGCGTGTCCAGAATTATTCGCGTTTGAGAGTTAAATAGACGAGTCGTCTTCTCTTGAGACACTGCTTAAAGACGTCTATAGGAATAGGTTAAGAAATTCCTAGTTTGATGTATTTTTGAATGAATTTTGTGATTTTCGTACAATTCTAGTGCTTATGAAGACTATTTACATATATTCAAGACTCAAATTGGCGGATCTGTCCCTTTAAGACTATCAGTCGTTAGTAATTAATGATCGAATGGATTTTAAAAATTAATCACGAAGTTCATCACATCGCATATCAGGTCAAGTTATGCGAATTAATTCACTTCCTTTCAGTACCGAACCTATGCCAGACCAAACGCTATACAATACGCAAACAGATCTCAGGAACATGGTATTAAGATATTTGATAAATATGAATCTTACTTTACACCTAGTTATTCACTTCCTAAAATAGGTAAGGTTATCAGCTGTTGGTCTTGCAGTAGGTCCTACTATCTGTATACATCTTCTTGTGAAAGAGATTTTAATTTTGATGATCTTGTGTATATTTGACCAGATCTCGAAGGAGTTAGATTTTTAGCATGCGCGTTTTGTGGTTATTGTCATTGACAAAATGGTGAATGAAAATGATATTGTTTTATATCAACGATTTTGTGATGAGCGGTTTTGAAATTAATGCGGGTGTTTTCATACCACAACAATTAACCCTGATCTTTATTTTTTAATTCAGACAATATAGCTATTCCTGATTTTAATGCTGGTGCCATGGAGAATTGGGGATTAATCACCTATAGAGAGGGTCTTTTGTATTATCCTGGTGAATCTGAAGCCTCGACAGAAAAATGGATTGCAGAAGTTATTTCTCATGAGGTTGCCCACCAGGTACGATTCTGGGTCCATTTTTTTGAAAAATGATTCAGTGATCTAAATAGCCGATCGATAAAATTTGGAATCTATCAATTGAACTCATTTTGATAAAATTGCTTTATTTCTTGAAGTCTTGAATTGGTCCCGGATCTTATTACATCATAAAATATTTCAAGAATATACATTAACGAACACGAAATTTCAGTTTCAATAATGAAAAGTGATTTGAGTTCTCCATTTCATGCAAACTGGTTTCAGGAATATAAAAGAGTTTATAGATTCCATTAACATTTTGTTCATACAGCGTGTTTTTAAATCTTTAGGTTCATCAGGTTCTTTAGGTTTTACGAATTCTAGATATTAAGTGTGAAATTATTCTGATCATAAGAATAAACAGAATCAATTGTGAGTGGTTATATATATTTCAGTGGTTTGGTAATTTGGTATCTCCAAAATGGTGGAAGTGGTTATGGTTAAATGAAGCATTTGCATCTTTCTGGGATTACCACATTGTTGGTGAAATATACCCTAGTTGGAGATCGGTAACTATATTTAGTGTTATCGTATAGCCCCATAATTTAAGTACATATCTTAGTTTCTGAAACACACATCGACATTAATATGACATTTTGTTGTGTTTAAAAACAACTTCAACAGTTTCATTCTAGACACCGGATACCAGTGTTCAGTATGAAATAACAACTAATTTATGACTGATATAGTTCGCACATAAAATGTTTATTAGTTACTGCCAATATGTTGTATATGATTTCGTGTTTCGTTTTGGATACTTATAGTTACATTTAACATCTACCAAATCTACAACAATTTCCAGAGTGAAAATTTGACTTTGTTATAGAGCTTGGCAAGTTATGACTTTCTGATAGTCATATAGTCAGTGTAAGAGTACAATTATGTTATAGTAAAGACCAAAACTAATAATTATTGTTCGAATGCTTCTCATTTTCTAGCGAGATCTGAATGCTTTAGAGAAACATGGTATATTTGTTACCGATGCTCTGAGGACGTCACATCCATTAACACATGACGTAGAAAGTAATACAGAAATCGGATCTATTTTTGATGGCATTACTTACACTAAAGTAGGTATTTCATATATTATATTAAATACGAGAGCTCGAATTTCAAGACTGAAAATAATTAGGCATGCAAGATTTTCATAATTGGACTATTTTTGACCAAGTTCTAAGCAAATCGAATTTCATAATTATTTTCATATAACAAGGTCATCACGTGTGCGACAAATAGCAAACATGTTTATGTTCTTTCTTCAATTACGTTGTTGAAAGCTCATCAGATTTCTTCACCAGCGCATATTCATCTTGGACTCTGTCAATCAGAGAACCCGACCATGGAGCCGGCCAAATAGGCTTACTATCATTGATACTTATGAATTCCACAAACTGCTGCAAAATCCTAAGTTGAACTATGTTTTAAATGTAGGGTTCACAAATAATACGAATGATGCACTTTATTATGGGCCAAGATTTATTCATAAAAGCTCTAAATGTAAGTATCTTAGATACAATAACCAATCACTAATCATGTGTAGTGCGCATTGTGTCTGCAGTAAAGGTGTCCTCAGATCATAGCCATAAGCGGTTGCGAATGGTTGCGAAAAATAATAAATAGCGGTCATAAAATTCGAACGAAACATTCAACTGAGTTGTGAGTAGCGTTCGGAACTCACGGCCAATCAACTGGTGATCGCTATGATGTGAGGGTCACTTTAAGAGTGTCTTCAACACGTCCGAAGCTATTAACATATCTACCGTGTTTAACACTAGAAGTTAAACCTCAAGGTAATACAATCCATTGTGATTTGAAAATATATTGCCGTGAATTTAAAAACAACCAATTAACACACGACCAGCCATGTTAAACGGTTTGTTTTGTAAATAAATATGCATGAGTACGGACAACCCATCATGTATGAAAGGGGTCGTTTTGAAAGGTCAAAGTTCGTCGCCTGATACGAATCTTTTTTTTCTTGATCAAGTGAACGGTCGCATATTTATATAAGTAGCTTGCTTTAAAGACAAACAATGATTATACCATTCCTCTATTTTAGAATTACCTTCATGCATACCAATACTCAGTAGCTGAACATTATGATTTATTCGATAAACTAACAGAGGTAAGCGATTCTTAAAGTTTTTCACAAAAATCTTGCTTCCCATCTTCCCATAACTTGTTTACGTCGATATGATCAAAATATGGAGATCATGTTTAAAAGTAATTCGGTCTCACCAACAATCGCATGCCGATGTGGGCGTATTCGGAGGCAATCCTATTATCTTCACCATTCTGATTCGCCGTCTTCATAGGTCACTCAAACAGCCTTTTGTAATTTTAAAGCTTTATCCAATCTAAAACTGATCAAAGACAGCCAGTGGTTTTTTAGTGCTTGGCCATATACTCTATACCTTTGTTATGGAAAAGTCATGAATAATTAACCTTGTCCAATTTCAGACAGCTATTGCTGAAGGTTATCCAGATCTGAATATGACTAAACTGATGGACCCATGGGTAACACAAGCTAACTACCCAGTGGTCAATGTGGCTATAGAAGGTGGCCGATATCGCCTTACACAAAAACGATTTCTGATTGGCACCACTGATCAAGAAGCTGAAAATGATACAGCTTTATATGAGTAAATATTACAATATTTGTTAAACTTTACATTCTCAATCCATTAGGGAATAAAGCCTAATACCGGTACTAAATCCACATTTAACAACCTTTGGATATCTTATGTCCCTTTTGGTACCGACGTAATTGTTTCTTTTTCTAAGTGTTTTTGAATTATCTGTTTTAACCGGACCTAGCTAATTGTCAACCAACGACGATCTGTCAATATGACGGGCGATTGTTTTCTTCGCGTCAAATTCGTTGTATTTAAAAATGGGTTCTCTTTTTTTAATTTATTAAAATGGAAGTACTAATACTAATTTGAATAGAAAGTAGAGGTGTTTAAATGACTTAGAAAAATACCAGTATGTCTCACATGTCCATAATTAGTTAAGAGAATTACCAACAGAATTCTAATGAGTGACCGATCAAGAAAGGTCAAAAAGTCTTTTTTTTTTTGTTTATTCAGACTGCACATTCATGGACATTTATGATTGGTTATTATTATCTTAATTATATATGCAATAAGAATATAATGATATGATTAAGAATTCATGATATTTATAATTCATTAGAAACACCAATTAATCAAATAGTTTGCTTAATAATTATTGTTATGTTTAAGTGAATGAATTCAATTCACGAAGATTGGAAAATGATTATCATCAGCACCATAGCCTGATATATCGGATATTTTTTTTTCTTTCAGCTACAAATGGCCTATACCGATCACATATACCACTAACAAAGACCAAAACTTTACCGAAGATAGAGCTAATGTTATTATGATGAATGGTAATGGCGATCCAGGTATGATTTGACTTGTATCTTTTGGAAATAGTAGGCAAATATTTGATGTTGGCCCTTTTGTTTAGAGCGAATACAATTTATGTGGCAATCCGTACATTCAGTACTTTTTGAGCACATATTTAGGTATATTCCATATTTCGCAGCACCCATGTAATTATTACTCATGCTACAACCAACCAATGTTGCGAAGAACCGGCTAATGCGTTCGAATTCGATCATTTTTAAATGGCATGAAAATGAAAAAAATAAATCGTTGTTTAGTTTTCACAATATTTTTATGAAATTTATTTACAGAATATATTAATGTAGATCCTTCTGATACGGAATGGATTATTCTTAATCTTCAACAGCATGGTTTCTATAGAGTGAATTATGAGGAATCAAATTGGAGAGCCCTGATAAATCAATTAAAAACAGATCATACTGTAAGTTTCATTTTCGCTCATAAGTTTCCAAGGTGCTGATACTTTGAGGTGTATTGTTTAGGGGGCCTCCATAAATTGATTCTATTAAATTCGATGTTTCTTAAGTAATTAATAGGCACTGACGATGCTGAAATCGCCGAAAAAACTTCGGGATACATTAGGCGAACATAGGCTACGTATACATTGCTTATTTGAAGAAATTATGCGATTTTCGTGCAGTTCTGGTACATCTGAAGAATATTACATAATATACATATATCAAGGTCCAGGTCAAGGCCCGAAATACCGATTATTGCATTTTAAATGTAATAGATACTAGTTGTTTATGACATAAAATTTGATATCGAATATTGTACGTTATGAGTGTTATTTTTAGGTTATAAGTAACATCAACAAAGCCCAGATCATCAACGATGCTGCTAATAATGCCAAGTAAATATTTCGTTTTCTAAACCTCTCCTAAAACCAGCAGAACTATGATATATTTCGGGGAAGGGGGCGGGGGTTTAATTCCCCCGAATGTACGGGCCTCGGGTGGAACAAATACTTCATTGAGAACTAGAACTGCTGGTAGTTTTCTTCTTCTCTGATCTGAAATTAGATACAATAAAAACTTTTGACACAAAACTGAAAATTATGAAATTAAGTTCGGTATAATATGTAGATAACTACATTGCATTGAATTAAACTATGTTTATCGATAATCTGTATTTCCAATTTTGCAACGGAAAATAAAATCTTGTCGTGTTATTGTGAGGGACGCTGCACGGTGTGGGTTAAGATGTGGGATAAAACGATAGAGTAGAAAATAGATGAAGCGAATACATGGGGAATAGATCAGGGCACGATCCGACCGCGTTATGTTTAAATACGCTTATGACTTAATAAATAAATGGATACAATGAATAACAGTGAAACGCATCTATTTATGCAATTATTCACAGATTGTTTGACTTGTTCAATTCATAATGACTTTCTGGCTAAAGTTCAAGTCTTGACCTTTAAATTGCTTAAGCAGTGCCATGCTACTACACACACAGACTTATGTTTCTTGCAATATTTCTGATTTGTTTGGTCATGCATAAATTGATTTGGTTTGATTTGAACCTATATTGTAATGGCGGGTGTCCGCACGAAGCCGACCATGCATTACTCTTTTCGAAACACCTGATGGTACTTCTCTTTAGAAGTATATACTATACTACTATTACTCTTATTTTATTATTGCAGAGCTGGACTGTTGGATCCTCTCATTGCTTTAGAGACGTTAGAATATCTTGTTGATGAGACGGATTATCTACCTTGGAGAGCCTTTTCTAGAGAAATGAATTATGTTGAATCAATGTTACTGAGGACAGAATTGTACAGCAGTTTTAGTGTAAGTTATATCTTCTTCTTTTGTTTGTTACATGCCGTGCTGGCGTTCGAATGGAAGTGGAACCTCTCTGCCCTGGTTTTAGCCTGAAGGTAGATGGACATTCCAAAGGTTTTCTATTATTATGCAATTTTTTGGAAATACATGTGGGCTACTGACCATGAAGTACCAAACTTTTGATTAATTGATGATCTGAGGCGGCCTGTCTGGATTTAAACCCGTATCCCACGTAACTAAAAACTAAAAGCAGGATAGAAGTTTTGTCATATTCTACTCTTGTCGACACTGAGACTGTGAACCAGGTTTAATATCCCGTCCAATTGTTTCGCAGAAAAAGATGAAGAGTATGGTCGAAGATCCTTTGAAAACATTGACGCTGAATATTACAGAGGACATGGAGCATATTGACATGTAAGAGTCTTACTTCTGCAAATTTGTACAATATTTTGATTTCCTATGCATTTTTAAGAATTTTTTGCCTTCATCTTAGATGAAATTAAGTCTTTAAATGGCATTTAGTAATAGTGAGTGCGATATATAGCACAGCTTTATGGAACAACAATCACTGGTTATATGCAACGTGTTTTTCTAGTCGACCGCAGGCACATAATTTCATCTTAGATGATCACATCTGTTTAGAAATGAATCCTGCAACCCTTTTATTAAATAAAAGTGGACCAGCTGTTGAGATCAAGGGTGAAAATGTAGAAAACTCGTAGACACTGTATCAATCAAACCCCTTATTACTCGTTTTGTCAGTTACACCTGACTTTGACTTGATTTCACTAATGGTACTTGACATATTCTCCTGCAAAATCGTGTTAGATGTATTTTCCCGCTTTCCAAATAAAGGGGGAAATAGACGAAAATAGAACAACTGAACACACAGGTACGGGTCCGGACACGATGTGGACAAGATTCACATCAACTACTTTCATCTGTATCGATTATCCTGCACCGTAAACCCTTCCCCCCCTCTCCCTATCGAATCCTCGCTATTTTACTGAAGAGCACACATTTCTTTTATAGTATGGAACATAATACTTACTTTTATTATTATATCTTTGTAGATTTGCTGTCACAACCTTGGCTTCTTATGCCTGTAATCATGATGTAAGTGAATGTGTGGATAATGCTACATCATTGTTTAATGAGTGGATGACCAGTGGAACAGATAAGTAAGTTGTCTTAAGCCGCATTGGACAGAGGCTTTCTATCTATTTTATGTTCGGTCGCGAACGTTCAAATTGAAATTGTTATGAACGTATTAGGGAAACAAAACGATTTGTGTGAAAAAACATTCCGTCATTTCTTGCCTTTTCAAAGTGCATTGCGAAAGGACTTGTGCCTTTTTGAAAAGAGTAAATTCATAAAATTTATGTAGAGGATAAACCTTTTATCTATAAGGCTTATTTTGTGAATCAGTGACATAATTTGAATTCATTGCAGTACCAACCCCAATCTGAGAAATATATTCTACTGTACCGCAGTTAAAGAAGGTCGATTTGCAGAATGGGAATTTGCATATGAAGAATACAAGAAGTCAGAGTCCACTTCCAAGAAAAATGCCTTAAGACATGCCTTGTCTTGTACAACAGAAGTCTCCCTATTACATCGGTATGACGAATTGTTCTGTATGTTGGTTCAAATATATTTGTGCATCTTTCTGTCCAAGCGGTTTCCAAGCTTCGACCACCGAATATTACACTATCAAGTTTTCAGAAAACATTTTCACATTTCATTATCTATGCAATAAAAGCCTGTGATTATTACTTATGTCTACTTGGGACTTAAGACCAAGTTCTTTAAAATACAACTGACACCCTTTTTCCAAAACTCTTGCTTGGTCTTTTTTGGATCTTATTTTGTTTTTAAAGCACATGTTTGAGATAAACCATTATCTTTGATTATATTTCTAGAATGCTAAATATGGCTCTGGATCCCGATGAGGTTCGATCACAAGATGCAAGAACGACAATCCAGTATGTTGCTAGTAATCCCATTGGTGTTGACATTACTTGGAATTTCTTTAAGGACAAATTCAGCACTCTTGAAACAAGGTAAAATGAATGCCACCAATATTATATAGTGTTCCTGCTGAATCTCATCATAGCGAAATTGAAATAGTTTTGTAATCCTTCTTTTCTGCACCTGATTGGGCCGGCTGACAACGCTTTTCGGTGTATTTTGATCTTACCAGGAATGTGGTATTGCCTACTATTTTTATTTTCCAACTTGGTCAGCCTGTTGAAATCGAGCATCACTTTATCGTCCCATCGACTCTTATGATCCGAATAACGCCACCTGCATCTCTGAAAAAGGTAAAGTGGCTTGCTAAATCCAAAGGTATACCGAGACCTTGGCGCGAGCAAGGAAATTATAAATATGACGAAGCTCTCCTTTCAAGAAACACCACTTCAGTTCTAATTCTGTTCTTGGTTTATTCTTTTATAGCTTGGGATCGATGAACAGCTTATCGAGATTGTTGTCATCAGTAACTGAAACATTCAATACACAATATTACCTGGATGAGGTAAGACATCATCAAATATTTCACATGACTGGGAAAACTTAAAAGATTTCAATGTCCACATTTGACATTGAAACATCACATTGTCTCAGTTGCAAATGAATGTGCTCAACTATGTGAAAAAATCACTGCCAAATGTTTTTATTTCTACATATTATAACCTCTGAAAGAAAGTTTGAAAGTCTTTGAGTGGTTAAGTCCTCCTGGTAACTGGTCCAGAAGAAAATAATCCCCTATTTCTTTATAAAGAGAATATTTTAATAACAAATACATAGAAGAATAGAATCAAATGTGTTCAGCACGACCTTTTGAAAAAAAAAATGACATACTGACCAAAAGGAACTACTGTCATAACGAAGTATAGTCTGAAATTGGCGTTACGTTTTGAACATGCACAATCATGCTAATGCAAAAGACTTATCTATCTATATTTATATGTTTCAATTATTTTTCATCATTTTTCAGTTACAAGCAATGGTAGATAACAAGGAAGTGGGGAATTATGAATCAGCATTTAAAGGAGCTATAGAGACAACGAAAGCCAATATAGAATGGTTGGCGGATAATTACGAAATATATAAAACATGGCTTTTATCTTGAACTATCAATCCAGTCTCATCCATCTAAAAATCTAATTATCGTATTAATCAGAGTTTATATTTTGTACAATGCTAGTGTTAGTTTTTAAAGGTACAGGTGTGCCATTTGGGGGCGCGGGGGATTTTAGTCTTGAATATATGTAAATAGTCTTCAAAAATACTAGAAATGTACGAAAATCACATAATTCCTTTAAAAATACGTCAAACTAAGAATTTATTCACTATTTCTATGTCTTTTCTATATATCACAGAGTATCTTAAATTGATGAGTCGCCATTTGAACATTCACACGCAGATAATTCTGGATATTCCTGGATTTGAAGGCTTAAATTTTGACAGTGGGCTGTGAACAATATTACTGATTAGCTCAGCTAAAAAAAATTTCTGAGACTTTAGTTTCTGAGACTAAAGTATGATTGGTCAAAAAAATGGCACACCTGTCCCTTTAAGAATACTTTGAAAATTCCTAATTTAAACATCCAGCTACTTCACCCATACAAACTCAGACTACATTTTCTTCCAAATCAATTTCGATCCCATGGCCGGATTGGAATACTATATGATACAAATTTATTAAGCCTATGTAATTGCACAGAGCTTCTGATTGGTTGAAACAACACTTACTCTTGTTATAAATGTTGTCGGATCGATATAGATGAGAACATAACCTTGAACATATAACAATATAAAACAGTTTGTATTCATACTATAAAATGTGTTATTTTAACCATTAGAATCGTGAATTGGAGTACAATGTTCTTAATGAAATCGAATCCATACTCTTTTATTTACCGAGGTATTAAAATGCTACTTGACAAATAGGAAATCTTCAATGTGTTCAAAAATTGAAAAACTTACTGACTACTACACACAACTTACTTCACGTGGCAGAGTTGATATAACATTGATTTGTAGAACATCGTAGTCATTTTTCTGATTATATCTCGATATATATTTTTTTATATAGTATTTACGCATATAAGCTTTATATGAATAGGAATTACATTAAAATATCTCTACAGGTCCAAATTGCTCTCAGTGTAGCAAGAGGGTGTGACTTGTTATGATTTATATCAGGCCTGTGTAATCTTTCCGCAACGGCGGGCCACATTTGGGGGATGTGAGAAGGCCGTGGGCCACGTAAACAAACCATCAATGAATCATGGAATTAACAATTAGCAATTTTTTCAAGTCAAATAACGTATTTCAGTGAGGATTGCAAATAACAGACATATTTGACGTAAATCACTGTTTCACACGAGGCCAGATCTCGTTACCGGGTTTCGAAATCAGAATAGGCAGCGACAATCTGCTGGCCACACCGACAGTGACAAGAGCAAACGAAGCATTCTGCATTTCCCTCAAATTTTTCATGACGCCACGGGCCGCACGAAATCATCTCGCGGGCCGTAGGTTGCACGGGCCTGACTTATATAAAAATAATTTATTAATATAATTTATAACATATAATTATAAACATTTTTTTATATTATACTCTTATTTTTTTATTGACTCTTCAGACTTTTTAATCGTCGTATTATAACTGTTTATTTGTATAATAAAGTTTGTAACAAATACAACTGAAATATCAGAAGACGTTTTGTTAACGGGCAGGTCGAGTTTTTATTTAAATATGGGCAATCGTTGGCCTGATGTCCAAACCTATTAATGGGCACTGTAGGCTCGTTTACTTGAAGGGATACAATTAACCCAATTTGCACGGATTGCGTTTGGTGTGTGGGTAGCCAATGTCTGGTTCTATACGGCACAAAAAACCAGGATGCTTTATCTGAATTAGTTCCGAAGTTACAGCCGATCAAAGTTTACCCTTTTTTCCCCCACATTTAACCCAATTTGCATAGTTTTTCGACTCTAGTTTTTCGCCAAAATGCAGGAAACAACTTTGAATCGAATTTCCGATCTCCCCGGGTCCCCCCTGATTGATTTTAGTCAAAAAAAGAAGATTTTTTTTTGGTCCAGCTTTGAAATTTTTCCTGATCAAAATGACTAAAAAATGGCCGATTTTGTTCGATTTTTTGCATTTTAATACGACTTTTTATATCCGCCACTGAATGTGAATCGTACTGCTACAGTTTTGGTGGGTGGGTAGCCAATGTCTGGTTCTATACGGCACAAAAAAACAGAATACTTTATCAGAATTAGTTCTAAAGTTACAGCCGCTCAAAGTTTGCTTTTACTTCCCCCAAAATTTACCCAATTTGCTCAGTTTTTTATTTTAGTTTTTCGTCAAAGTGCAGGAAACAACTTTGAATCGAATTTCCGATCCCCCCGGAATCCCCCTGATCGATTTTAGTCTAAAAAAAGAAAAAAGATTAAAGTGACTTTGTTACTGTAGGCGAACCGTAACTGCTACAGTGTTGCTCTTTGGTGGGATGGTAGCCAATCTCAATTGGTTCGAAAGTTACAGTCGCTGAAAGTTTGCGTTTTTTCCTCCATAATTTACCTAATTTGCTCTGTTTTTCCACTCTATTTTTTGGCCAAAATGCTGGAAGTGAATTTTTACAACCGTAACAGTAGACAAACCGTAAGTGCGACAGGGTTACGCTTTGGAGGACGGGTAGCCAATGTGTGTGTTTTTTTTTAATGCATCAAACAACTTTTGAACTAATTCGGATCTCCCTTCCGTCCCCAAATTCGTTTTTGCCAATAAAATTCTGATCGATCAAATTGACTAAAAATATTATCGATTTTGACCGCTTGTTTGCGTACTGAGAATCGTTGTAATAAAATCAATGCTGTTGATTTAAATTTACAGCACTCAAACATTGGGTAATTTTGAAACAATTTTATTCGCCTCTAGTTTTTCGCTATTATGTAGGAAATCAACTTTTAATCAAACCTCACTAAGATGGTCCATTTTTTCAAACGTTGTTCTCATGGGGGTGAAAGCTTATGGCGAATTTTGTTAATGGGGTAAGGCGTTAATTTTGTTAAAGAGTATTAAAGATTTTCTTTCTAAAAGTTTAAACAAAGGTGATATTAACTTGCGGAGCTTTGGGTGAGCTGAAATCAATGTAGGCCTGAAACCTCTCTACACCTGTATTGTGTGTTCATTGTGACTGTAGATGTCCCAGGGTTCACTTCTTCTTGTTGTCATGTTACCAACATAACAGAAAAATATTCCCTGGATACAGAATTGAAATTTTGCTGATTCAAACTTTTTAAGGTAAGTTTTTTTCCCCTTAATTTTTAATGTTTAACTATATGTTTTATTTCTACTACTATATACTTAGCATTGTCTTTTTTCTTTCAGTTTATGATATTTTCATTAGAGATGTAATCATAATAAAAAAAAATTCAAGCCAAGAAAGGACAAATGTTGCTGAATAAATACTATATATTTTCAAGGTAAAGATAACTTGATATTCATAACGTATTATTTTGACTTAATTTGAATTTCATTTTGAGGTTTTTCAACAGGTAAACTTCTGCTTCAACTATGTAACTGCAGTCGCCCTCAAGCATGATTTTGAATGCATGCTAAGATTTAAATATAATGTATTAAAATACCTTATCAAATATTAATAAAAAGTCTGTGCATACTGAGTAAATATTCATCAGTAGGACGACGTGGCCATGCCTAAAGAATAAAATCTTTATAGCTCAATATATAAGTAAGTAAATAACTAAGTAATAATTGAAAAATGCTTCTAAGCGTGTTTTAAAATTACTTAGTTTAATGAATTATTGTATTTATTGGATCATAGAGTGACCCTGTCGTATAGTTTTGACACCAGGTAACTCCGCTGATGGAAAAAGACTCATTTTGGCCAAGTTGAAATATTTCGATTTGTTGGTCATACTAATATGAAGTATACCTCACAACACTTTTGTTATCAGAATACTTTATAATTATATAATGCTTATAAATTCTCTGCTACCAGTTCTGCAATATATCATGTGTTTTTTGGTTTTATTTACAATGCATTTGATTGTTTTGATGAGCAAATATTTATATCCCAGTTTTGTCCACACATTTCGTCTTTCGTCTGTTTTATTTGTATGTGATCAAATGTTTTCTTCATTCTTCTCTTATTATAATATTACAGGACGGTATGCAGCATGAGTTTTTAGTTCATCTACAAGCCAAATACATTTGTTTTTAATCTGAGGTAGGTCAATTTTAAGATTTTTCTAAAAGCTATTTGCCGTGATTGCTATAGATAAACAATTTATGCTAATATATGATATAATTGAAGAATAATAAAATAATATAATATAATATAATATAATATAATATAATATAATATAATATAATATAATATAATATAATATAATATAATATATAATATAATATAACATAACATAACATAACATAACATAACATAACATAACATAATATAACATAACATAACATAACATAACATAACATAACATAACATAACATAACATAACATAACATAACATAACATAACATAACATAACATAACATAACATAACATAACATAACATAACATAATATAATATAATATAATATAATATAATATAATAAAGCTGAAAGTGTGATAATCATGATATATAAGAATACAGATGAAGTAATGATAATCATATAATATATACGAATAAAGCTGAAAGAACTATAATCATATTATATACAAGGTGCCGGATTAGCATAAACTTCGGCTTGTTTCCGAAACCTTACTTATTTTCTGTAAAAATTTCATTTAATATAGAAATAAAATATTGTTTAAATCATACAAGAATGAAGACGAAGGAATGATAATGTTATAATATATGATAAAAATAAAGATGAAGGAAGGGTATATTAGGAAAAGGGAACAATAATATTATAATATACATTATAAAAAGAAATGCTAAAGTAATGACAAGTAATTGTAAAGAGAGCTAGATGAATGATAATGTATAATATATTAGAATATAGCAGAAGGAATGGTAATTATATATAATATGTTAATGTTACAATATGATAAATTGGATAAATGATAATGTTATAATATATCATAAGGATTAAGCCAAGAA